AACTGACATCATTAAACGTATCGCGAATGAATACACGACGATATGCAAACAAATAGAATCTTGGAAGCGTTGACCGTGTAATGCAGAGGCGTCTTAGTTTTGCTTTTAGGTAATATGACATTTTTTGTGGTTTTCATGAGATCTCTAAGCGAGCGGCAGAGGCATCTTATTTTTGCTTTTAGGTAATATTCCATTTTTTTGTGGTTTTCATGAGATCTCTAAGCGAGCGATGGCTCTTTCAGGGCTCTGCTGAAGGGCTGTCGCTGCGTGGAGTTGGACTGCTGGGACGGCTCAGACGACGAACCGGTCGTCTACCACGGCTACACGCTAACTTCGAAGATCTTGTTCAAAGATGTCATTAAAGCCATCAAGGAGTTTGCCTTTAAGGTGCGCTCGTTGTATCTTCTCAGATGGTTTCAGTCAAGTCACTCTACGTAACTACCTACCGCAGGCATCGGACTACCCGGTGATCATCTCCCTGGAGAACCACTGCAGTGTGGAGCAGCAGGAAGTCATGGCCCGGCACATGAGCTCCATCTTGGGTAGCGCGCTGGTCACGTCTCCCCTCGGGGACGGCATCCCCGCAAACTTCCCATCTCCCGAGGTGCATTTCCCACCGCCGCCGCTCCTTTAGTCTTCCCTTTAAAATCGCGCTGCCCTTCAAGGTTACGGCCACGTTGTTGTTGTCCAGGAGCTGAAGGGAAAGTTCCTGATCAAAGCCAAGAGTTTAAACAAACTAGAGGCCACCTTCGCTCCGGATGCGGCGGCTGCCGATGAGTCTGAAGTAACAGAAGAAGAAGAGTCAGACGATGAGGATGAAGCGGAGGAGGAAAAGGTACGTAGAAAGAGGGGAAAAAAAAACGATGACATCAACATTTGCGGCTTATTTTACCTTTGAATTAACTGCAGAAAAAAAGGAAACTGAAGCTGTCGAAAGAGCTGTCCAACATGGTGATCTACTGCAAGAGCGTCCACTTCAACGGCTTCGAGGATGCCAGGAAAAACCTGAGCTTTAACGAGATGTCGTCCTTTAAGGAAAAAAAGGCCATTGCGCTTGCGGAAGAGTCAGGTGAGGAAGTCTTGAACGCGGCCGCAACTTAGACGCGCCTTCGTCAAGGTAACGCTTAGGCCTTTGCATCACTTTCAGAAGAGGGATTGAGTCGGTATTTCTTTCATTGTGGTTGTAGATTGCAGTGGTGTCCAGTGGCAGTGTATCATCGAGAAAAAATTGCCTCTTTTTTTTGTCACCAAGTTAAATTAAATAAACCAAATGAAAGAAATACCTCCCAGTAAAACGAAGGGCAGTGTACTGCTAAAAACGACAGCCACTGACATTGTGACGCTGACGTGATCTCATTGCATTTTCCAAGCGCTCGTGCGGAAGTGGTAGTCCGAGAAAAAGAACAACGATTCCATTTTCTGCCGTTGTTTGTTCCATGCAGCGAACGCCTTCATCAATCATAACGTGGACAAGTTTAGCCGCGTCTATCCAGCCGGCTCCAGGACCGACTCATCCAACTACAACCCGGTGCCTCTGTGGAACGCTGGCTGCCAAATCGGTACACGATCTGGAGATCGCCTCCGGGGGAGTGATGTTTGCAACGTTTTCGGCTGTGTTTGAGAACGTGCCATCTCATATGTGTGTCTCAGTGGCCCTAAACTTTCAGACGACCTGCGAGGATATGGATTTAAACCAAGGCAAATTCCTCGTGAACGGGAAGAGCGGCTACATCCTGAAACCGGCCTACATGAGGAAAGCAGTCACAGATTTTGATCCGATCACACTGACCCGAGGAGAGTGGCTGAAGCCCAAGACGCTCCACGTCATGGTGTGTGCTTCAACTTCAAGAAAGGCTTTGAAGTCGTTCCAACTTCTGCCTGACATCCCGTAAGAGAAGGATGCATGAGCTGATGTGAAACGTCTTCTGGTCACCAGGTTATATCGGCTCAGCAGCTCCCGAAAGTCAACAGGAAGAAATCTTCCATTGTTGACCCGCTGGTTAAGGTGGAGGTGTATGGGGTGCCGGCTGACATGGCTGTGAAAGAGACCCGCGCTGTTGACAACAACGGTAATGCACTTTATGTATGCGACGTCGTCGAGCTCATTTTAGATGCTACGGTTATGACATAGAACGGTCACGTGCCTCATCTCATTACATCCAATTTAAAAGGCCTTGTCGCTTTAATGAACACGACTAGGGTTCAATTCAACGATACACTAAATTTTGTGTTAATGCCAGAGTTACTTTTAAAATTAAATGTCACCTGATGACGGACAAAATAACCCTGGGCTACAAATGTTTTGGCGCACACTTTGTCACGCTCTAAAATAAATAAAGTTTGATTGACTCTTGGAATGTAGTGTGCACACGGGGCATTACTATGCTTATTCTTAATTGTCCTTTTAGGTTTCAACCCAGAATGGAATGAAAACTTCCAGTTTGACGTGTACGTACCAGAGCTTGCCTTGGTGCGCTTTCTGATCCAGGACTATGATTCCACATCCGGTAACGAATTTGTTGCGCAGTACACGCTTCCGCTCAACAGTTTAAAGATGGGTAAGTTCACGTCCATAGTTTTTCTCATCCTCACACCGAAAGTCATAAAACAGCTCCCTTACTTTAGAAATGACCAGACTAGCTGGTTCAACGCAGTGAAGCCGCTGCCCTTCTCCTCCTAACCGGCGCACTCATTTTGTGTTCACGCACAGGATACAGACACGTGCCGCTGCTCGATAAAAGTGGTTACGTTGTCCATGCAGCTGCACTCTTCGTTCACATCATGGTCGTTGATGCTGAATAAAAATCCACCATCGGGCATGTTTGTGGATCTCCATTACATAGCCATGACTTGTTTTTTTTTAATACTGTTTATAAAAGTGCATATTGCTTTGTCGATCAACCTATTTGAGTAACTTTATTCTTGTTTATTGAGAATAATACTGCAAGTTAGACATACTTTTTTTTTTTTTAGGAGCCGTGAGCCTTCATGGAAATACAGTGCAAATATGCAAGCGAATGCTGAAACTTTGCGGGGACTTGTTTTCCTCGATAACACTACACTAGGTTCACAAAGCATTCTCACTATACTAGCATTTCAAGGTAAACAGCAATGCTCTGTCATGGGTACATTGTCATGTACGATTCATTTTTCCTGGATCACATTTTTTTTTTAAGAGCAAGTTTTCAACATGAATACGTGTCAACTGGAGTATTTATTGTAGCTTGTCACTTTGTTGGGAGTCCATTAAAACATTCACATCACATCGAAGGGCAGTTTTTTTTTTTGTTTGTTTTATCGTTATCGAACATGTTTATTGGAACCCGGACACGTGACCAGCAGGTGGCGGTGAAACAGCATTTGCCAATGGCGAATGCAATTTAGTATGAATGCTGGTCGCGCGCTGAACTGATATTATGTAGAATTAAGTGAATTGTTGAAAAGAACGTGAGACCTGAAGCGGGGAGGGGTTGAATTGGTCAAGGAAGGTAGAAGACGTATTTGGGAGCTATATTGAGGAAAAAGGTCGAATGTGATATTTGAGTCAGCTGAAAAAATAAAAGTTGGAATACTTTGAATTAGGGATCGATCGGTGGCCGATGATTATCGATCACTAGCTATTCGGGGGGGGGGTGCGTTATCGGTGAATTTGAAGTCTCTAAAGGCCGATCGGTCACATTTTGTATGGAATAAGGGAGTGACATTTTTTCCTCAGTTTTCTCAATTAGTACTTGTATCTGTCGACCTTAAAATAAGTATACATAATGTTACTGTCTTTACAATCCAGTATTAGTTTTGTCAGCGTTTGAGAATCGAGCAAGCTACGGCTTATTTTCAATGCACATGCATTGACTTCGCCTATTATGGCAATGAGCGTCACTGCCGGCAGAGGGCTAACATTAGCATTAGCATGTCGCCTCTTGCCGCTTATCTCTAAACATCGACTTGCCGTAAAGCGTTTCGGAATGGGCGCCGATTGCTGTCTGGACTTGTTAGATTTCAAGTTTGATCACTGCAGTAATCTCAATTGGCATCCTATATTCATTTATTCACATATTTCTAGTATAGCAGAGCACCAAGCTATAAACGTCACGTCCAAGTTCGTCAAAATAACGTGGGTACCACCCAGTGTTGAGATGGAGAAACTACAGTTGAAAACCCAAATGTTCCATCCCTAGTTTGAGTGGTGTAATTGTAACTTAGAATGATGACAATTTGGATGATGTCTCCAAGCATTTCAGTTGACTTGAATGTGGCATAGGGGAAAAGGTGGCAATGTGGGGAATGTAGAAGATGGGTCCTGAAAGAAGTGAAAACAAAATAAAAATCTGAATTTTCAACCTTCACATTTGATATCAGGTGGCATCCATTTAAAAATAGTGTCAACTGTCCAAATTCTATTCTAATTTTACTCAGTACAGTTCTGTACACATGGAGAAAAAAAATATAAGCAACAACTTTTCCATAGCTGCAAGAAAGACCAAATGGCTATTAAAACACAACATGTTTGCTTCTGGACTTTGAAACCTAGCACAACTGTGCAGTAATTACATTTTTTTTGGGGTGGGGGAATTGCAGCGTGAGAAGAAATTGCAAGACTTCCCTCGTATGATGTAGCATAATTGATAAAGTATATAGAAATAAATCCATGTAAGTTGCATCCATAATGTAACTGGAAGAGAGAGTTTGTTTCAAAACTCGTTTTTAACCAAGACATTTTTAGCACAAAGTAAGTTCTTTTCACAGTAATCGCTGTACGTGTCGCATGTTTAAGATGGCTAATCGCTTTTTCCGAGGTACATTGTGATGCAGATTTAAATTCTCATGTCAAAATTGTTATTGGATGCTGGCGATACAGTCGCCTCCTCTCAGAGATAAGAAATGACATGATCGCTACTTTGTCCAAAGCTCTGAGTGTACTTAAATGTAAATAATGGCCTTCTTGAATGTAAATGAGATCAAATTACAAGACTACAGAGCGAACAGTCATTTCTTCAATCTTCTTCTGACCTCAACATTCAGACAAGTGAAACTTGTCCCATTGAAGCCTTTTATTATGGAAAGAAATGAGACCGTGGGAAAAAAACAAAACAAGATGCTCAGGGTGCCAGTACACACGCATACCCAATAAGAACTGAAAAGTGTTAAAATAGTGAGAATTCGACAACCCCTCCAGATATACACCAACCAAAGAACATAAGCACAGTGAACTCAAGTGTTTTAGAACTTTGGTGTTAAATTCATAAACCAACTGATGAATATTTTTAAGTGAGGTGATGCCCGAAAGAAAACCAATATGCGCACACTCACACACGCGTCCCCTGAATCGGAAAGAAAAGACCTGACTGAGAAGTCACCATCACTGGCAAGTAGGATCAACAAAGGTTGCGGTGAAGGAATCATGAAAACGATGCAACTTTTTTTTGACCAAATACTGACAATAAAAGCTAGAAAAATATCATAATGATACAAACTTTTTTTTTTTTCCTGGAGCAAGTAAATCATCCGCAGGTTGCGAAGAGTCTTATAAAAAGGACATGGCACTGAAACCACGTGAAGAAATTGCTCACTCCCATCACATATATGTTGCAAAAGGAGCAGACTTTTACCTTGAAAATGTTTTGATGCCATGACCCATAAAAGGAGCAACAGAGGTAAATGTCATTTCCTGTGTGGGTCTAATAAAAGACGACGCCACAGACCTCCCATTTTTCAGAATATTGATACACCCGATGTACAATGGACATAAATGGTTGATGACGTGTCGATCTGGTCAAACATTGCGTTACACGTCCAAAGGCAGAAGGCAGCAATGCCATGTTGAGATTCTGCCAGTGACCTATTAGTGTTTTAGCTGGTCCGGGAGGACTGGGCGGCCATCTTTAGGTTTCCAAGGCCAGTTACTATGGCAATGAATGACAACCTTTGTTTGGCTACTGTTGCCGAACAGCACAAATAATCATTCAAGTCATGTCTGGAATATATTGGTAACCTTTTTTGTTTTTCTTAAACATTCTAATAATTTTTAGGTATGACCACAAGGTCATACGAAAAGTCGCTCATGATAACTGAACAGCACTGTGAGAAGTGCACGGGCCAGCCCAACCATACTTGTACCGAGTCTTACGAAGTTCTCCGCACACAAGCCCATCAATCGGGATTATGATTTACGCCCCAAAGACGCTCCTTCCCAAATAAAAAGGTTATTGCCATGGTCGCAAATGTTGCGGCATTCGGCGTGCGCGGCTCCTCTCAAACAGGCACTGAGGTGAAGAACAGTTCAAAAAGAGTCTCTGAAGGAAAATGCCACACGCATGTACAAACACGCACACCTCCTCCAGTGATGCACCTCACTGTAACTTGACCAGGAAGAAAAGGGTGTGATCGGTCCAGGCCTGACTCTATGCTAGAAGATGCAAACCTCGTGGTTGGGGCAGGGGGGGAGTCGAAGCATGGCATTGTCCTCAACTGTACAATTCTAGAGGAAGGGCCAAAAACACCCGTGGATGAAGCTGCACCGATGTGCAGAATACAAATGTGGGCTCCAACACTGACAATGACCAACACAAAACAATAAAGTGTAGAATATTAAAAGTATCTGGATTCATTCAACAGCTATGAAATTAATAAAACCTACTGTATAACGCAATACTACCTATCACATGAACACCGTTTTAACATAAGCCCATGAAAAATTGTCCATAGTTTGGCAACTAAAACAAAAGGGAGCAACCAAAAGAATAAATGGCACATTTTAGTTTCAAGATTAAAACCACAACAAAAAAGAAGAACTTGCAGCTGGGAGAAATCAGGTTTACGGTCACAAGCTTTGCCTAAAACAAATCCACTCGCTTTATGTAATACAATGAACGCAGAAAGACACAAAAGTCGCGTCTGTATGATGGCACAGGCATTAAAAAAAAAAAAACACAAAAAAAAAACACCACAGAGACATCTGATGATTCCAAATTTCAGGAAATATGTGATATAAAGATACTTGCGTGTCCACTCGAAAGCATACTGTGTGAAAAACCTGGAGCACTGAGGAAATATGCCATGTAGAAAAGAGCTCCCTGTAGAAACAATACTCACACACAAGGCACTTCATTCACAGTAAGAAAAGAGTCACAGTCCTTCCCGTGACCACAAACTGCCTGCATAGCAACAACACAAGGACAAAATCTTTTCCGACCTTTGTGCCGTTCCACATTAGAAGTTTCAGACCATAAAGTTGTTTTTTGTTTTGTTGTTGGGGTTTTTTTTTTTTTTTGGTTTGAAGCACTTAACCAAATAGTAAAACTTTGTTGGTTTGAAAATAAAGACCAGAGTTCTTTCCTCATAGCATTTTGTCCCCAATGGTGGCAACTTCAAATCTTCACGTGAGTATTTTTGTTGTTGGGTGAATTAAGTGCATTTCTTCTCATATGAGATGGCACTCCGAATGCAGCCAGTCACCAGGAGATGAGACTAGTGTGGCGGGACCCCGCGTCACCTCAGTCGTGAGATGTATTGGAGAGAGCAAGTTGGGGGGGGGGGGGGGGGAGTGGGTTGGCGAGTGCAGATGCTACCTGCCTCTCAGATTCTGGAGGACCCCGTAAACCTCCTCTTCTTTGCTAAGTCCCTCAAAGACAGGCAGCAGGTCCAGCAGCTCCGTGTCATTCATGTCGTCAAACCAAGATTGGACCGGCACCTAGGGACACAATTGTTGTCGTGGTTTCAAATTTTCCGACATCAAGTACCATCTCAAATCATAACATATTTTCTCTCCAAATACCACCATTATCTGAGGCTGACCACAAACAGATTTTGGCACAGGCTGTCATGTGTGCTACGCTTGGAAACACTGTTAACTGTATCTTCCATGGTAACCAAGGAAGAACACCTGGCACATTCACGATATTCTGTGACAGTTTAAAAAAAAAAAAAAAAGTCTGATCTCAAATGCTTTGGTCTAAAGCAGAAAACCAAATTACAAGTGTGAACAAGGCCCAAGATGTTCAAAGATGTTTCATCCCTCAATGTGGTATAACTATGGTGTTTTTTTTTTTTTTTAAATAATGACATGTCGAGTGCAGCAAAATTTATTTTTTTTCCGGTGCACACAACTACTTCATTGGCCTTGGCTGAAAAATCGGCATGTTGCTGCTGCTCGACTGATCGGCTTTTTTGGGGCATGGTTACAGCCACAAATTACTGTTTGCAGATGTATTTTTAAGTACATTTTTGGGTCGGACACATTAAGTCATATCGGGGGGCGGGGCAACTCACAGCATTTTCTGGGTGAAAAATGTACGAGGCGGGTGAGTTGTCAACAATGATGACGTTGCTGAGCTCTCGCCCGAGCCGGCTGAGGTCCTTAACATAGTTGCCCCTGTGGAACACGCAGGACTCTCTGAAGAGTCGCGCCCTGAACACGCCCCACTGGTCCAGCAGGTCTGCCACGGGGTCTGCGTACTGGCCAAGCCATATCAAAACAAACATGCTGTTAGTATGCTCGGAAGACAAATATTAACCGTGTCCTGAAGTCGACTAACTTAAAAAAAAAAAAAAAAAAACAGCTTCACAAAGCAGTGTGCCTGAAATTACTTACACGCACGCACACACGCACACACACACACACACACACACACACACATTATAGCTAGAGGATACAAAGCAGACTTTGTCTATGTCTTCACAGGAGAGGGTTCACGACATCTGTAATATTCTGGAACACATCTAGAGTTTCACATTTGTTCCCCGTCAGCAACCCCCCCACTCCCTCCGCATATCACTTACCGACTTATAACAGGCAAACAGACAGAAAAGCAAGATGATTGTAAAAAGGTTGAGAGGGCAAAAGAAAATGACCATCATTGACTTGTAAATGAACGCCAAGGCAGTTGCAGCTTGGTCTTCACGCACCTTTGCGAGACTGGCTGTGAAGAGCACACATTCAAACAACTCTCCCATCTTTTGAAGGAATTCGTCCACGTGTGGTCGTTTCAGCACATACACCTGCACGAAGGCGGAAGGTTAGTCTGAGATAAGGCGGTCGCAGCTATCGCAACAACTTTAGCGCTTTTCGGGGAGCATCCGAGATCACCGATCCCGCTGTCATTCACGGTTGCGGCGTCAAACCACTGCTTTTTGAATTTGAGGCTGCCACCTAGCGCAAGTAATCATGAATAGGCCAACCAGGATAAACACAGCCTATCCTGGATTACTTGAATCAGATGACAACCATTTCTTCAGGATCCTCTCGTGGGTGCACAAAAGGTTGTCTTGTCTCGAACCCAAATCAACGCATATGTATCCCAAGGGGAGCAGATTACCTGATGAACTGTGCCATCGATCTCCACTGGAACAATAAAATCTGCATTGCTGATTGGCTGTGGGCAAAACAAAAACAACACCACATGAGTCCAAAAGCATTTTGAAAAGTAATGCACCGGTGATGACCAGTTGTGTGTCTGCTCGGTGTTACCTTAAATGAGCTGTGGACGAGCGTTTCATCCAAGTCGATCACAACACACTTTTTACCGTAGTCCGATATTTTCATCTCTGGTAGGAGGTATTTGGCTGGCGGCTGTGCGGAAGACAAGACCGACAACATCCGATTTACTCACAGAGATCGGTGGGAGATGTGAGCGACCCAGAGAGAGAGAGACGAGCAGATGCAAAACAGGCACAATAAATATAACTTGCATCAATTATTTAATGTGCAACCCCTGAGCAGAAATGCCACCAGCATCATTTTTATTGAGCCTCTAACATGTCTGAAATTGGTCTGACACACAGCAAGTACACATTAGGTGATTGAACCTCATTCTTAAGACATCTTTGAGGAGGTAGATCTGTGTTTAGGTCAATGGGAGATTTCATGAAAATTTACAAAAATGATCACAGGACAAGGCCATGCATGTGTTAGCTGAGGCCGAGGAGAATTTCTAAAATCATTGATGTTACTCGAAAAGAGAGCCAGTACTCTTGAACAAGAGACTGTCTGGAGGTTTGGAGTTTCAAACAGTTGCTTGTGTGCACGTTTGTTGGTACACTGATAAGAGTACCACCACGCCAAAATAGCATACTTGACGCCTCTTAACTGATAAACCTCAATAACGAAGCACAAATGGATTCCCTTCAACACCTGGATGGACTAGAGCCATTTTGGCTTTCAAATGTTAGTGCAGATCAAGCAATCGAGACACCATTGAAAACCGCAGATGCCTCAAGGCAGTTGCAGTTTCAGCAGGCTGAAAATGAACCGCAGCGGAGCAGCAAAGCTGAGGCTGTCCAAGGAGCACTGTGGAGCCCACACAGGCCCAACGTGCCAGCACCAGCCCACGCAAGGCTACATGCAAAGGAAAGACGGTCATACATACACTAGGGACAGGGAGGACCTCGACCTTGTCACACTCCAACATGTGTACAAAATAAGGGCGTGGGATAAAAGGACAAAAAAAAAAAAAAAAAAGGGAAAGGTTCATGAAGATGAAGGAAAGACAGTCACACATACAAATGAAAAATAAAATTCGGAGACAGCAATGGGAGTGTTGATATTTACAAGGAGCCAGCATCTAAAGAGCTTACCTTGGGTGGCGATCCGTTCTCCTCGGTTGGAGGGGGAGGCAGGGGAGCTGTGTTGCTATTGGCTGTGGGCGGTTCCACATTGTAGTTGCGGAAGCAGCAGAAGAATGTGCTGAAGATGCTCCTGCTCCTCTGCTTCTTGAGGCTGCTGTTGGTCTGGGATGCTGTCAACACAGAAGAGAGAAGAGAAGAGGCTGTTGAGTGAAGAGAATGGAAAAGAAGATGTGATAAATCAATGGAATTGAGCACTGCACTGGGACCCCCCCCCCACAAAACGCCAAAGACGAAGAGACTCGGTTTCCGAGGAGAAAAGGCCGAACAAAATTTGCGCAAAGACAACATTTTATGCAAAGTTTGTTTGGAAGTCACTTTCAAAGTTAATTTCAAAGAAAATATCTCATCCGCACAACAAGCAACTCTTTGTTTTGCAACATGAAATAAATGGAAAAGATTGAATCTTAAACAGTGAAGCATTATGGGATGCGGCCAATCGTCCGGGGGAGTGACCTCACTCATGCGGCAAGTCACGTTTTAAGCATGTTGACGTCAAAAGAAGTAAGTAGAAATATTGAGAAATATTAAAATAATATTTAATATATACTGTATATTTTTTTAAATAATTTCGAAACTAACTCATTTAGAACTGTTAAGCAGTCATTTTTGGCCTCTCACTGAGAATGGGAAAAAAAAAAAAAATCAACTACATGTTGTATGCAGTTCAACACTTTGGCAACAAGAGAAATGTAATTACTCCCACGCAGCCAGCTGTAGAACGGCATAGCAATCATGGAGCTTTCTAGTTGAGTTTGCTACTTGTCTGAACAACACTACAAATCTTCAAGTGGACTTGTGTGTCAGTAGCGTCCACAAAATACTTCAAGGAGAGGTCAGGTCAAAAAGGATTATTTATTTATTTTTTTTTTTTAAACAACAATATGTTATACACAGCCCCACGAGTCGAAAAACGGCATTCAGGTGAATATGAATTAAGCGGGAAAATGCAGCAGTTTTTATCTATTTCTGGGGGCGGCCATTTTGCACCTTGCTGTCCACTGAAGATGACATCACGGCGCTGAAGGACTCAAGCGACGACCGATCATTTACCTGCTTTCTGGGTTTGGTCATGTGACGTTCACAAGCTGAGCCCTGAGGCGCTGTGATGTCATTTTCAGTCGACAGCAAGTAGAAAAATGGCCATCGCCCGCCTTTCAAATTCAAATGTATGTTTTGTTGGCACCAATTTCAACGTGGAATATGTCGGTTCTATTTCAATTATTTCCTAATGAGAAGAAATTATTTTGAATTGGAAAAAAAAGACTGAAAGTTGACCGGCAAAGCAGTCCAGAATGCGTTCAGATTCGGAGGTCCCATCACATTTGATGAAGATGTTGGATAACAAGCAAGCAAAAAAAAAAAAAAAAAAAGGGGGCGGGGGGGTGCAATCAACCCTAGACTTTTGTCACAATCCTCCTACAATCCTGTTACTGTGAAGGAGATGTGCGCGTGTATGCTGTATCAGTACTGTATCATGAGAGTGAAGGCATGATGTAAGTGACACTCCATGTCACAGACACATTTGGAGCCCCGTGAACCACGACGAGAGTCGAGTCACAACTTGAAATAGCCGACCCTCCTCTAATTTCATCCTCACTTCAACATTTTAACAAAGACAAAAGAAGACCCCGAAAAAGACCCAAGTGATCGGCAACTTCAATCGACACCGTTTGCTGAAAATGTGAAACCAAAAGAAACGATTTGAAGAAACCGTCATTCTTTGTACGCACGAACTAAGTAGCTAAGCTTGGACCTGAGGTCAGAGTGTTGCACGAGCCAGCAGGGCTGGGAGTCTATCTTTAGACTGCTGTTGAGCAACTACAGTAATGTAGTGAGTAACTACAGCCGCATGTTACATAACATTCAGTAGCGGAGCGGAGGTGCTCAGATTTTGTCCAGACACACTGGAGCCTGTTCAATTGAAGGAGCAGGTCTACCTGTCAAATTCCTCTGGAACAGCTGCCGGAATGGGCAGCTAGTCATGTGCGTCGCAGGAGATCGGCAAAGACAAATCAGTGACTGAGTGCACAGTAAACCACCATAAACCTCAGCGATCTCATGTGCAATGTGTGACAGAACAGACACTGGATGTTTCTTTGGGACAATTTTCCCTGTTCCTCTTTTTCAAAAAGGCAGGTTTTGAGATCACAAACAATTCAGTTGATTGTCTACGACTGACTGTTGCTTCATCGCATTTTGAATCCATGGGGGCAAAAATGGCGAGAACTACATGGCCGCAACGAGCAGTTATTGCTGACAACATTCAAGGACCAAAAAATAAGTTATTTTATTCAGTACTTATTTTTGGGGTTTTAATTAATCGAGCCATTAATCAGTTTTCAAAATTTGGCTCCACCAAATTTCAGAGTGGGCCTAAAAAAATCCACATCGGTCGGCACCCACCACAAATATACAAAGATAATTTGCTATCACGGCCATGTCTCATCTTTGTTACACTTTTGGCCTTAGAGGAGAGTACATTGTTGTGCTTAGGTTAAAAAAAAAAGGAAAAAAGAAACGAAAGAAAAAGAGAGTCCTCACATTACTACTGAAGTTAAAAAGGGAAGGGTGAGCTTTAACATTGATATGGGCCCTACGGTTACAAGTGAACTGGAAACTGTGCCTGTGGCTTGAGGAAGGGGCATAAATCAATGCTGTGTTTTGACCTCAACTATGAGTCATACATAAGTCTGAAAACACAAGTAAAGAGATGAGACTCCAGGTGAAATTCAAAACAGTTAATAAAAGAGGAAATTAATCACATAATTTAGTAACTTATACGACGTAAAACTTGGAGTAGAGGATTTTTTGTGTGTGTGAAGTTATGTCAAGGAATTTACTACAAATACTTTACTCATGGTTAAGGTTGTCTTTTTTTAATCAGGGGTCATAGGTTGTCATAAACTGTCATGCATGCATATAAAATGTGACTATGGCATATCACTTCTAATGTTGGTTGCTCTACGGTCTAACAAATGTTTTCAATATGTGACAAAAAAGTATCGAAACCTCCCAAGGTGCTAAGATTGCGCTTGGTGGTTTTCCACAGGCCCAAGTGAGCATAAGCGGTACAGAGAACAGCTGGATGGCCAAGGCAAATCTAAAACGATTTTGATTTTCAGATTCCACGCTTTAGTTCTGGGTAATAGAAATTTTTCTTCTCTTTTTATTCCACGGGAACTCAATAATTTTTGCATCCCCGTTGACAAGTGAAAACAGAGTAATGACTTGACAGAACCATCCATCCATCCATCGCCCACCTTTATTCTCGTTCATGACGCTTCAGCATTAAAGTATAGGATGCAGGGCAGAGAAGATTAAAAACGACAGGGCGATGGTGTGACATGAAGTTACCGGAACATTTATTTGGTGTCAAAGCAATTCTTCGCGAGTAGCATGGACTTCCAGCGTTACCAAACCACCTTTTAAATGCGCCAAATTTGATCAACAAGAAGTCCCAAATACTCTTAATATCAATGCTAGTGACTTATGCAGTGAATATATGTCGGACTTGCTGTGAAATTTACAGCGGGCGAAACGGTCCGATAAACCTGTTGCTGAAAGAGTTTGTATCCAAATACAACTTGTGTTTGCAAGCGATATGATGTTCACGTACAGTCGGGCGCAAATAGCTGCGCCAACACTAGAAGTAGTTAGCGAAGCTAGCTACCGTTACGTCCATTCGCTCACCCACTGTTCTTACCTTTTTCCTGGTTGAAGGATATTATTTCTTCCTCCTTCGGGTTGGAAACTTGGGTTATTATGGACATGTGGTCCATCGAGCCTGCTGGTTATTCCGCTTTTCGACTCCCGCAATATTAGCCCGCTTGCTCGGGCGGGTATGCTAGCTAACGTGAGCTAGCTGTTTCAGCCGAGGGAGAGCAGGGAGCCCACAAAAGACACACAAGCGTCCGAGGGGAAGCGTTGTTGCAGCGCGGGTAGCCAGTCAGCTAGTTCGGTGCTCAGTAAAAGCCTCCCCAGGAGTGTCATCTATAACTCCGCGCAAAACAACATTCTTTTGGCGGATAACCCCGACAGCGCGAGCTGGCTTAAAAGTAAAACAAAACGACGTTGAAGCAACCGCTAGCTGAAGTTAACAACTAGCTCGGCTCGGTTAGCCGCGAAGCTCCGACCACCCCCCCACCCACAAAACGATGCGCAAGCGTCCGCGTCTGTTGCGGTGTCCAAAACACTTTGATGGCCGTCGAAGGGCTACTCTTTTCCCAACCATACACGAAGACGCTATAAAGTTAAGGAGCTAACTTGTAGCCTGGCGCGCTGGCCCTTCATTTCCCCCCGTGCACCATTGAGGCTATGCATGTAATTTGGAGTTGGATCTGAAGTGGGGCCGCACAGAATCGAGTGGGAGGGGACGCTTTGCATCTGTCATCGATGCTGTGAGCGACTTCTCCGAGCGGCTCGCACTCGCCGAACGACCTCGCTGAAACTCACGCGGCTCGCTCGAGCTGTAGTTCTCCTGTTATTATTGCATAAACGAATTCGAGGCCTCCTTTCGACCTTGTGTTTGACATACATCACTTCCTAAAGTTGACTGGCGAAGTCAACTGTGCTCTAACGGATAAAGCGCGCTAAACAAATAAATGTTTGCGCGCCGGGCACCGAAAAGCGTCTCCCAGTCGACGTTTCCAGAGCGTATGTAAAGCAGATGTGCGAGTTCCCCGTTTGTGTATCTTAACAGGACAGAGAGCGCCACATAGTGTCGTAAAGTTGACATTGCTTGATTGTGAAAACATTTTACAATACCGATCATTCATCACACCCTCACCCAAAAGTGTTTACTTATATATTTTCCCAATGTAATTGTGACATGATATACATACAGAATTATTCTTTATTTTGAAATTGTTATCCTCCATAAATCCTATTAAATAAAAATCAGCTTTCCAGTGCATTGGACATGTCATTTTAATTTTATATAACACCGCATTGTCTTTTCTATGTAGAATCATATCAGATACAGATTGTTTGATGATTAAAAATACTTCATAACTGGTTTAACATAGCACGAAAGTGTTACGTTTACGTCATACAGAATGTGTATTTCCACCCGCATATCCACGATAAATTTGTGCAATTGAAGATAAAAAGACAAGTGATGCATCTTTGAATAGATGCAACTGACCGATACACCTGCTCTCTCCCTCATTTTAACCACTGTCAATGTCCCTGAGTGTTTGGTTGCTCTCGAGTGAGCCAACAGTGGACCACCCCTCTGTGGAGCAGTAGTGGTGGATAAATATAAACCCCCCCACTCCACCCCCTCCCTCCTCTACCTCCTCCGTTCGTTGAGTTCTGCAACATCCTGACTGGCCGAGGCTGACAAATGCGGGCAGCAAGCAGCAAGCCCCCTCAAGACGGATGATCTAGCCGCCTTCCTCCACCCCCCTTTACTTTTATTTCTTCTCCATTTCGAGGAGACGGTCTCTATTGGCTGTGTGAAGCGGACACAAGGTTAGTAAAGTCTTGTACAGTAAAGATGAAATCAAAGCCGGGGTGCTCTCAGCTCTCTGCATACAGCAGTACAACACTTCCTCACAGTTTGTATGCAGGAGACTTTGCGGCACTCCTGCTGCTTTACCATGGTTACTTGGCATTGTGCAAGAAGGATACTTTTTTTTTTTGTCCAACGCTCTTTAACATAAGCACAAAGTACAATAATATATCAAAAATAATGCATAACTCAATGCTGCAAACGGATGCGCCGCTCTTGGTCATTCATGTCATTAGCAAGTGAAGTGAAGAGAAGCCCCTGCTCATATCACATAGCACTGCAGCTGCACACCAACTGCTCGGGCTATAATAGGAGAGAGAGGTAAGGTTGCGCGGCTGACCATGCTGATTCCAAGGAGCCGGAGCCCTGCAATCCTATTTAAGTCACCGTCCTGTCGCTCCTAAAGGCTTAACAGTGCAATGCCAACTTGTAAAACGTCTGGATGTGACCTTAACAAGTGCACCCTTTAAACACCGTCATGTGTTTGTAGCCTGACATGTTATTGTTGTTATACGAAGTTGTATTGATAAAATGTTGCTGGAAACTATTGACTTGTAGCATACGCATGCGCCCACTCCTGTTCAGTTGCAGGTGTTATCTGGAAGTGGTCACAGTGGTGCAATAAATATCCCCAAAACACCCTCTTATATGTCTCCAGCTGCGTATTTTCCTTTTTGTGGTTCACCCCCTCATAACGTTGTACGGTTGATGTTTGTCTGACTGGGGCCTCTTCTGTGAAGATCAAGCATGGGGATCAAGGCTGGCCTCCCCAGATATGAGCTGTATCTCTACATTGCCGTACTCGCCGGGGCTTTGGCATGGGCCGCCAGTTGGATAGTTGAGGCTTCAAGCGGTGAGTGGCAGAAAACAAACTGTATCATCGCCAAACGCACCATTTTTGACCAGCGTTCAGTTCAACTGCATCCAACGGTTGGGAGATTTAGGCACCGCCGCTCCCTAACACCTTTCAATTAATATGAGGAGAATGAAAGGATAAAGCGATTACTCTCTGGATGAAATTCTGTCAGATTCACATCCACAGTTCCACTCGGCTGACCATTTTCACAGAGTTAAGACGGAAACAATGCCGGTTGTTTTTGCACAACGGTAAACTCATCACACAGACTTGAATGGCCCAAGTGTAATGCGGGGAATGGTACAGAAAGTGCGGCGAGCTTTTCCACAGCACTTAGAAGCTACAATTCTGTCAGCTTTACTATTTGAATCTTGAAATGCTCACATATGGCTGCTCCTTCCGAGAGGAGTTAAAAAGCTGAGGGCGTCCTGCCGCACTCACTCTGTCTCCTGGCATGACAAATGTGGCTGCGTGCCCACAAGTAAGAGGCTTTTCCCTCTTTGATAGCCATTCGGCTAATCAAGCAAAGCTGCTGCCGTACGGTCGTCCAATTGTCTTTTGTCTTCTGTATTTAATAAACAACATCAAAATCACTACAGAGATTCAGCTCAGTACAGTTTTTAATAATTGCACCGTATTTACCAAAGGTTCCAACAACATGTAACATTTGCATTAAGAGCCCAGAAGATCACGGTGATCCCGTTACGTAACATCTTATTTTGTCACTTGGACTCAAGTGCTTTCACACTCCAAATTCTATGCAACAATTTCCTAATATATGTCGTGCTTTTCCTTTGCCGATCTTTCAAATCTCAGTCTCTTGCTTGGTCGCCATTGAACTCTGCAAACAGTGGCTACTTGATTGCAAAGCAAAGTTCGTCACACTTTGGTTTGTGATCGTCTGACAGTCTTAATCGGCAAAACTATTCAAGGCGATCGTTGACAAGGTCCACCTCATGCGTGCGTCCCTGTACTTATTCTGCAAATTTTTGTTCTTTATTCAGAAAATGTGAGCAGAAAGGCATTCAAGGGAAGCGTAAAACCAGGATGGTATTACTTTGGCAGGAAAATGGTAACTTACCGATTGTATATGATGATTAGTATTTTTTTTATCATTCACGATCTTGAACGTTTTTGCTTGTTTGTACGTACCAAATGTTTCTCTCCCCTCGCGCAGGACGTTGCAGACTTTGAATGGGTGATGTGGTTCTCGACATTCCGCAATCACATTCTTTTTGCTCTCAGCGGCCATGTGATTTTTGCCAAAATCTTCACCTTGCTGGCCCCAAAGGTGCATGCATGTGTGTACTCTGTGTGTGTGTGTGTGTGTGTGTCTCGCGGCAAGAGTCAATGAGGATTGTCATGGCGTAGCAGCGCATGCAGGTATATTTACCTCTTTGTGTAAACTCTCGATTTACACATGTATGAAATATTTGTGCATGGTGTTGATGTTTCTAGGTAGACTCGAGCCCCGCACTCGGCTGCATTGTAATGTATTTGAAACGGATTCATTGCAATTCAAAACACTTGATGTTTCCCATGTTTATTGTTCTTCACACTTAAAATCGCTCCCGTAGGCTGGACTGGCCATGTGACCTGCAGGGCAGATGCCCGGTGGGCCAGCATCTTTTGGGGCAGTTGGGGTTTCATGATTTCTCTCGTTTTACCCCAAGAGGGCGGCTCTCAATTTAGCGGGAGCCGCCCATTTGCATGCGCGTGGGCTGAGCGTCACGGAGTTCAGATGTTCTGTGAAATCCGTCGTGTTTAAAACATTTCAATGTGTTTTAAACCTATTTTCTGTCTTGTTTCATGCCGACAATGAAGATTGGTATAGATGGATGTAAGGTAACCTTACTATACTTGTGAGTGTTTGCCATCATAACACTTGTGTTGTTTCATTTCACTCATTGTAGATCGAGTTTTTTGTCTCACTGATCAAACACTTGTCCGTTGTGGTGTATAACCCTTTCTTATGGCGCTAACAGTCTTTTTCTTGTCAACGCAAGTCATAAAAATACAAATCTCAAGTCACGGCGTCGAGGTAATAGTGGCTCGTCTTTCCCCACAGCACAGATCGCTCGTCTTCTGCGCGTACGGTGTTTTGGCGGTCCTGGTCACGATGGGCTGGACCTTCACGGCTTTAGTTCTGTCTCACTGCACCGTACTGTACGGTGTCGCTGTGTTCAAGACCAAATGGATGTGCTTCGCTGCAGGCCTGGCCACACTCGCCTCCATCAAGCTGGAGCCCTACAACTCTTGGCAGGTCAGTATTCTCATTTGCCAGCTGTTTTGATATGACCCTTTGACGTACAAAATCAATCGTTCAAAATGACACCTGCAGGAAAAACTGGTGACCGGCTCTTTCGACCTGCAAGACGTCCTCTTTTACGGCGGCTGCGGCTTCACCATCATGCGTTGTATGAGCTTTGCTTTGGAGAACTGTGAGAAGAAAGAGGGCAACTACACCTTCTGTGACCTGCTGAAATACAACTTCTACCTCCCCTTCTTCTTCTTTGGGCCTGTCATGACCTTTGACAAGTATCACGCACAGGTAATGTATTAACAAAAGGGCAGTAGCACTCCGAGATGGGCACTTGACCCTGTTTTGCCGGTCCATCCTCCGTCCGCGACCTGGGTACCCTTCTGGCAATGAATACCTTACAGACGAGACAGCACTTCCTCTACTCCATAGATTCGTGTAGTGCTGCTGATCCCATCTTGAATGGCACCTTTTGTGACAACTGCAAGGAAGTATCGTCAGAGACAACGTTGACGTAACATTTTGTTTGCTTCTCCAGGCCAACAACACCAAGCTGACCCGCAAAGAGCGGGAGATGTGGAACATCACCACCAAGGCCGTGTTGCACCTAGCGGTGATCCTGACGGTGGATGCTGCATTCCACTATCTCTACATTTTGACAATCCCCGGTGACATGAAGTTGGTCTCCCGACTTTCTGATTGGTGTCTGGGTGAGCATGCTGTCTGTCTACGGGGTTGGAGACGAGCTTTTCTTGACGAATGTTGTTTGTTGGTACGTTCCAGCCATCACGTCGCATCAAAGTCCATCACAGGGATAAGTGGTATGGAAAAAATGAAAGGATGGATGGATGAGGCCGCCAGCGTGGGATCAATTCCCATTCCGTGACTGTCTGTGTGATTGGTTGCGTGTGTCCTGAGCTGATCAGAATGCTTTTACTTCTTTGGCAGAAGTTCTTCGGTTTTAGCGTTTTCATTGAGTCATTGTGATCAAGATAAAAACGACCTACTTCTGCTATTGATGTTTATTCAACTCTTGGGAGTCCGTCACTTTGATTGACGGTTGATTGCTTTTGATTATTGCTTTATTTCACAAGAAAGAACAATCTGAGCTTAGTGGGGAATTCACTTGTGTTTACCTTTGCAGCCGGGCTGGCTTACTTCAACCTGGTGTATGACTGGTTAAAAGCGGCTGTGATGTTTGGCGTCATTAACACGGTGGCAACACTGGACCACCTCGACCCCCCTCAGCCTCCTAAATGCATCACAATGCTATATGTCTTTGCCGAGACGTGAGTATCAACGCATTGATGCGTTTCATATTGGATACAGAGTTGGAAGTGGACCGTTGTCAAACACCATTTGGATTTGTTTTTTTTTAGGCACTTTGACAGAGGCATCAACGATTGGCTCTGCAAGTGAGTATTGTGATCGAATTTCTTGACCTAACACAGATCGCTGATTACCATCATCGAATGACTTCTTCACCGGATGTTTCTCAGGTATGTTTACGACTACATTGGCGGAGATCACGATAAAATCCTCAAGGAGCTCCTGGCCACCATGAGCACCTTTGCAATCACCGCGCTATGGCTCGGCCCGTGTGAACTGGTTTATATCTGGTCCTTTTTCAACTGCTTCGGCCTCAACTTTGAGCTTTGGGTGGCCAAGTTTTTCTCTATTTCGCCATTTTCTACCATGGAGGTGAGAAAAATAAACCGAGAAACTCTTCACAACCACAATCAATTTCCCCTTACTGGCCACAACGTTTGTGTGGACTAAGCATTTTATCCCTATCGTCATGTAGGTTTGTATGGGTGAAGCCATGTCACGTAGAATCCGGGGTCTGTTCAACGCTGCCAATTTCTGGGCCATTGTCCTCTACAATGTTCTTTCCTTGAACAGTTTGGAATTTGCCAAATTGGTTGGAAGAAGACTGATTTTCAAAGGTAGAGAAAAATCCCAATGAAATCCCTTTGGTAACATGCCTTATTTTTAGAGGTGCCGAAAGTACTAAGACGCTGTTCGCAAGTAGAAGATACTGAAAAAAAAAAGATGATGACTGGTAAAAGTGGAATTACTGATTCTAAATGAACGCACAAAAGTAACTAAAGTAAGTAAATTAATTGTTGCGTAATTTTCTTTTCATTCTTTTTGGTGACAACATCAAATATATGTAGATATAATATATGGACAGGGAATATCTTGCTTCTCTGAATCTGTTTCCATCTGTGTTAATGCTCCCTGGTTCACATTGCTCCAAAAGATAATATACGGTCTCTTTTTTTTTCCTCTCTTTTCTACTCAGGCTTCCCCTTGTCTACCATCTCTGTGCTATTGGTGACCTACTGTGGCGTGCAGCTGATCAAAGAGCACGAAAGACGGCAAGCGCTGCTGGAAGACGAGCAGCCCGTCAAGCCACTTGATGGCGGCAAAGAAAAGGCAGAATAATCAGACGCCAAAGTCAAGGCCTCCCAACGTTTGTTCCATCTTGCGGCCTTCAGAACACAACCGGACTTTTAACAGCCAGGCTGTAGTGTTTTGCTATCGTTAGTCAGGCGTTTCCTTAAGTGCACTTTCTGGTGATAATCATCACGGTGTTTGCCACAAAGACCCTTTGATTTTACTGTACTCCAAGTGCGAATGTTTTACACGGTAATTCACACAACATTTTTAAAGGGCTAAAACATGAAACCGAGTTGCCACTGACGGAGTGCAATGAAGCAAGATAAACCCAAGAGGTGCTGTGGAGTCCTCCACGTTGCATGCAGCTAATTGTATTTATTAACATCTGTTCCAGAGACTCAAAGCATGCTTAGTTATGTCGACCAAGAATGTGTTGGATCTTTTTGATGTACTGTCCCCACTGGAAAATGAGAGCCACTGTCTTGACAATGGGAGTTGATTGCAGGAGTCACTTTTCTTCAAACCTCTTTTTTGCACATGTAGCAATGAAGGTAAATAAGCTTATCCGATTTGTAACCAAAGCCTGGGGTGTTACAAACACGTTTACATTGCCTTTTCTCGGTCGGCCTTTAGAGCAAAGGAAAAATAAAGTTTTGTTCCATCTCGAAATCATCTATTTCTTGGAGCACAAAGAGTTAAAATGAGATGCAGTTACCCGTGTAGTTGAGACGGACAGCAGCAGCGCCTCCGATTGTTTTCGAATTCGATCGAGTGACGTTGTTGTCACAGAATCAGGCGTTACCCTCTCTGACCACAAGATGGCCTCGTTTAGGCAAATTTGATTACCGTCGTTCCACTCTCCCAATGACATTAAACGAAACCTTTAAAGGCCAGACAAATCCGCCGCTTATTGAATCTATCCTTCTCTTCTGGTGACTCTGAACCCGATTAACCACTACCTCCTTTTCCAGTTTGCTGTGAAAGATGACACATTTGCCACGAATTTGTATTTGGTGTATTTTTTTAAATGCATTTCTAAAAACAACAATTGTCCTTCACTCGTTTAGTTATTCAACATCAAATTTAGATTGGAATTATTGACAGTAAGCGATGGTCTACAACAATCTCATATTAATTATTAGTCTTTTTTTTAAACATCAAACCTTGTCCTAATATGTTACCCATGCCAATGCTGCAAATTGAAAATGCCGTTTAAAATCACCATCATTATTCTTTGTTGATCCCCGAAGGGAAACTCATTTGACACTCTGCTGTGTAATGCTCAAGTTGCTTGCATCACACTACACAAGCAATCATTTCACTCACTTGCAGGCAAGGGAGTCACGTCGGGGTAATGGGGCAGCTCAGGTTTCTCTTTATTGGCCTCCCTGAGGAGAAATTTGTCATAGAGTAAGGGGCATACATGCAATCATACATCATCATCCCACCCCTCACACATTACATCCGAGCAAAACACTCTTGTCTTAGCCATCCATGCACGCCTCTTCCTACTGTTTTTTTTTCATGTTTGATTAACTTAACTGATGAATGAACAAATAAATTTTTCCTGTTGCGTTTGTAAACACATTGTAAAATTTGGGCACCTACTCACTCACATTGGGCACACCATAGAGCGCTGGCATAACTTGGCAGCGAGGCAAGAAAATCCTGGTGGACCCGTGGCTTATATATGCACTACAGTAAACCCTGAACGCTATTCAAACCTGCACTTAATGCTTTCATTGGTGTCTATTATTTTGTCACAATGGTCTTCCAAGAGCTGATTTAGTGTATGACATGATTCTTCCGAGACCATGACTGTTTTTTCTTTTCGAGCCAGAGTTAGCTGTGTGATTTGCATTGAAATAAACAGCCTGTGACCGAACAGAGTAATTTCCTGATGAGCTATCGTGCCGTATATAAAATGGTGTCCACACTGTTTGGCATTCAGCTGTTTGTGGGTTCCACGTAGTGAAAGGTTGGGTGGGGCCCCCGCCCCTCCTCGCCCTGTTTCGATCCACCAAACGGATTCCTCGGCCTTGAGAGTATTCCATCTATAAATAACCATGGTGAGTGACAGCCACTGACAGCTGCAGCCAACCGGCGACGGCTTAGCAGAACGATCTGGGATGTGAGCGCTGACAGTCGTGTTCAGTTGTAGGCAATGATTAGACGCTCTTTTCTCCTTCCTGCAAAACCGGGATAAGGTAGCAGAACAAAATGGCCGCTCTGACCGTAGACCCGACAGAGCAGCCTCGGATGTACCAGCAAATCCTCCTTCAAGACGGACTGTGTGACCTCTTGGAGAATGACAAGTTTGTGGACTGCGTCCTCAAAGTCAAGGACAAGGAGTTCCCCTGCCACCGCTTGGTTTTAGCAGCCAGTAGTCCCTTCTTCAAGGCTATGTTCCTGTCCGACCTGGAGGAGAGCAAGACACGTGACGTCATCCTCAAAGATGTCGAGCCCAGCACGATGGGGAAGATTTTGCGCTACCTCTACACCTCCGACATTAATTTGACAGAACAGAACGTCCAGGACATCTTCATAGTTGCTAACATGTACCAGATCCCGTCCATCTTCTCTGTTTGTGTGTCCTACCTTCAAGAAAAACTGGTGCTAGGCAACTGCTTGGCTATCTTCAGGTTGGGGCTGCTGCTGGACTGTCCCAGGCTCGCCTGGACCGCTCAGGAGTTCATCTGTGAACGCTATCAGGTCGTAATCAGGGACCAGGATTTTCTGCAGCTCGCCGCGACCGAGCTGGCACTCATCATCAACTCGGATGCGCTTAACGTGGAGCGGGAAGAACTGGTGTTTGAATCGCTGATGGACTGGGTCGCACACGACGAGAAAAAAAGGGTCGAGGAACTGCCAAAATTGTTGCACTGCATTCGCTTCAGGTTGATGCCCTTGGACTACTTTAAAGAAAAAGTGGAACGCCATCAATACATCCGGTTCGACCAGGGCATCAAGAAAGACTTGGATCTGGTTAAGGACGCTCACAGAGGTCGTCTGCCAAAACCCAAGTTGGAAAGAACTGGGGGAGAAGGAAGTGAGGAGGATGAAGAGGGTTATCTGCCAGGAATACTCAACAACAACCCCCGTTTTGGGATGTTTGAGATGGACTTGCTCCTCATGATCAGCGAAACGGGGACCGTGGCCTATGAACCCGTTGCAAATGAGTGCTTTGTGGTGTCGGACTCGAGAGAGATTCCAAAGAACCACTGCAGCCTGGTGACCAAGGAGAACCAGGTGTTTGTCGTGGGCGGGCTTCTCTACAATGAGGAGAACCAAGATGAACCCTTCAGTTCTTACTTCTTACAGGTAGAGTTTCAACCGAGGGACCTCTCGAGCCGTTTGAAATCGTAACAATGTACGCATATTTCCAGTCAATGTCCTTTTCCTACTTTGGCATGGTTAATGTCATTCCCAGTTTGACCCCGTAAGTTCCGAGTGGTTAGGGATGCCCTCCCAGCCCAACCCTCGCTGCTTGTTTGGGATGGCAGAAGTGGAGAACTCCATCTTTGTTGTTGGAGGCAAGGAACTGAATGAAGGGGAGCATGTTCTGGACTCAGTCATGATCTATGACAGACAGTAAGTACAGACAGTGATGTGAGAAATCTGAACTCATGTAGGTTTTTGGAACTGGGCTTTGTTTTTTTTTTAATTTCACTTATTCATGCTGAGCTGCCGGCTCATTGTGACTATTTTTGACTCCTATGGATTTATTCTGGCCCCGAGAACGGTTGACGAGAAGTCCAAACTATTCCCTGCCCTTCGCCCAAAGTCGAGTAGGATAAGCTACAGCTCACCCATGACCCAAACATGGATAAGCGCTATCTTAAATAAATGGGTCAATGGCCGTGTTTTGCAATATTTACCGTACAGTCGTAGTCTTGAACCTATTCTTCCTGTATGTCGCTCCTGCTATCCACTCACCGGTGTATATATAAAAAAAAAGCTTCCTCAATGCGCAGGGTCAAAGAAAGGCCATCACTATCTTTTCATTTCTTTCTAATTTCTTAATCAAAAGCACGTTGCCCCAGAATGTGTGTCCCTACAAAAATGAATAAAAACAACCGTGTTTACTACTCTTAATTTTGTTAAAGTCGATCTTCAAAGAGTAGTGCTTTGACTACTTTCTTTCCCCCCGCCCCAGATCATTCAAATGGGGGGAGTCAGACCCGCTTCCATATGCTGTGTACGGCCATGGGACTGTATCACACAAAGGGCTGGTCTATGTGATTGGTGGGAAATCGGAAAGCAAGTAAGTGGTACTCATAATCTGGAGCTGGAAAATGGAATTGTAACATTTCATTTCACATCATGATTGCTCAGCATGCCTTGATCTATTGATGCAGGAAGTGCATGAGGAGAGTCTGTGTCTACAACCCCACCAAGTTTGAGTGGAAGGACTTGGCCCCCCTTAAAACAGCCCGCTCCCTGTTCGGTGTTGAAGTCCACAAGGATCAGATTTTTGTTGTGACGGGAGTTACGGAAACGGGCCTCACCAGCTCTGTGGAGGTCTATGACATAGCCAGCAACAAGTAAGCACGACAGCTTTTAGTATGAGGCGAAGCATCTGTCCGCATGGGACGAAATGACTCGTGAAACGGGAATAGTAGCAAATGATCATCCCATAAAAGAGAAGATGACTGCATGAGCGTGTCACGGGAACACGGCAACTGCTTTAAGGTGGGGATTAGTTCAGTTGGGGCTCAGGTCATCTTTTAAAATAAGTCAGATGTGTGGTCTATGACCTGAGGAAAAGTGCCCCGAGACATCTCTCGTGATTTGTCGCCACCATCACTAAAATGGAATCGCGCACCATCTTCTCTTTATGTGTGTGTGTCGCCTATAGGTGGTCTGACTTTCCCGAGTTCCCTCAGGAGCGCAGCTCCCTCAGTCTGATGTCCGCGGGGGGCTCCCTGTACGCTGTGGGGGGCTTTGCCATGATGCCCGGCGAAGCCAGCGAGGAGCCCGTCCCAACAGAAATGACTGACATCTGGAGGTAGGAAGACCTCACCGCACAAGGGTCACGCTCCCTCACTAGTCATCATCATTTGATTAAAGATATGAAAAATAAAGCAGGAGAGTATCAGTAAAGCAGAGGAGAGGAGTTATTAAAACATCCCGACTTTATCCCCTTTGCTGCAGGCTTGCTCCAAAAACTATGAAAAACATGTGTGACAACACACAAGACCCCTTGTGCGGATCGTAAATTCTTCATACAAAATCATGTTGGACATTCTGAGCTTCCACCAGCCAATCACATCAAACACGGTTATTGTCAAAGGAGTGTTTGGAATACGACTACAAATGATTTATTTTCATTTGATATGAAAGCTGATGCGTGTAACAAACTAAAGCTTGCAATCAGTGAAACAGGTTTGCAATCGCACACAGGCTACAATTAAAACAAACGATACAGGACCCCAGAATTACTTGGGAGTTGTTCGCGTATTTTACGATTTCAACGCCATCATGCATTTGTCCATTTCCCCTGCGTGACCTTTCCGCGTTTCATTTATTGCGTTCGCTCCGTTTTAAGATGAAAGCAATGATCCTTGCACTGTGTGTGGCGACATTTTTAAAAGGCCAATATTTCCCACAGATATGACGAGACGGAGAAGTGCTGGAGCGGGATTTTGCGTGAAATTGTCTACGCGGGGGGAGCCACCATCGTTCCGGTCCGTCTCAACACTCTGCGCCTCACCAAATTATAACGCAACGGTGACAATGCGCCGTGAGCAGAGACGGTGTACCGATTAAGCCAAACCACGCGTGTTTGTCACTGGGGATGAGTCAAGAGAATGGAAATGAAACGTAAAATGCCAGACGGATTTCATAAAAGTCGATTTACACATCCGGCCGTCCATGTTGTGTTCTACATTTACAACAGAAATAAAACAAAAGAGTGTTTGCATCCCGTTCAGCGATGAGCTTGTAAAACAGATCCAAAGTGCAAACCGTTGAAGTTTTATTCATCTTGCACAGGTATTTTGTCGACTAATTTCCAAATACTATACAGGAAGCAGTTTTTACACAATATTTACAGGGCACCCCGTAGACGACACACTCACTGTTGACATCATGCAAACACCAGGAGTGAACAATATGTAGCCTTAAAAAGTAAACATTGATTTCCAGTTGACACCTGAGCATAGAAGTCGTCGCGATAAAACGAGCCATAAACGGACACTTTCCCCTTATTTACAAGTAGTCTCAGTGCACAGTGTGTGTGTGTGCGTGCGCGAGCGAGAGACGTTTAGTCTGAGGTACTTTCAGTGAGTTTACGTAAACGGAGCAGGATGTGGCATTAAATGCGCTGTTTAGAGGAATCAAATCATTGTGGATCTTATCAAACAAGCCCAGAGCCAAGAAGCAGCTGATATTTTACTGATAGACTCAACCAAATTCATCAGATTACCCAAACAGGGGAAACGCTGACCTGGGGATGTGAAGTGATAGTTTGACTCGGTCCCTGTGTGGTTTTTTTCTTTTTTACCTCGACATTGACAGCATTTATCCAATAGTTAATTTTTATGAATCCAATAGCAGTTCTTATAAAATTGACAGCACCAAAGAACAAGGTGACTTAACAGGCAAAAACCTCACAAGTAGTTGCAGCTAGCTTTCAACATTTTTTGGTGGGTCAAAGGCGGGTGATGCTGCCGTGTTTGTGTAATAAAAATACGGCATGCAAAATCGTCAAATCGTAAATAAGCCGACAGAAGAGATTACGCTGCACATCGTGTCTCAAAATAGACGCGGGAAAACCAAATTTTAAAAAAAGCCACAGCAAATTTTCCGATAAGGCCGCAAAATAGACCTGCGAAATGCGAAAACAAGTCAGTTGTCACATACACTCACTGAGTGACTCTCAGTATCTTGAATTGTAATCACTAAATCATGAATAAAAGCCTTATTTTTGTGAAACATGTTTTATACGGCAAGCCCATGTGGGGGTATGCGGCAACAGTCTATCCATCTAGCCGTGCATTTCGATCAACTTTCTGTGCTCATTGGGGTCATGAGCAGGGTTCTAAATTCATTCAGTTTTTCTAAAAAGTGATCGCCATTATGGCCGGTGATGCATGAGGCAATTGTGTCAGTCATCGAGTCATTGAGAATCGCTTGGATTAACATTCCAATTCTCCCGCAATTGTTTGCATTTTAAATTTCTGGTTTCCCGTGATGGTGCCACGTCCGCCGACCGGAAGAAGCAGAGCTCGACGAAGAACAACCGCACACACATACGCGCCGATCACAAGTGTGGCTTAACTTTGTTAAACTAAATGAAGAGTCGCCTCAGTGCAACACTTACAATGACAACGTACTGTGCAAAGGAGGATGCATGACATATTTATATTAACAGTCTGTCTGACGAGCTTGGTGCTCCCCCCTGCTCCAAGCCTAAGACTGCAGTACAGCAGTATAGCTTTGGCTAGTGATCAAAAGAGTTGATTTCGAACCCTGGCCATGAGTCATCTTGAGCCTATCCCGTCTGACATTGGGCGAGGACACGCCACCAGACTGGTCACTGGCCAATATCAGGCCGCAGAGACACGACAATAATTCACATTCCCACCAATGGACAATTTTGAGTCTTCAATGAACCTAACATGCATGATTTTGGAATGCGGGTGGATGCCAAGAGTACCCAGCGAAAACCCCCAATCTCAGAACCGTAAGCGGATGTGAGAAGCACTCAGCCCCGGCTGCCTTCTGGAGGCGTATATAAAGGCTGTCCAAATACTTCTGGACCGAACCACTTGGTGAAAATAACAGACATCAATCAGTGTGACCACAAAATACAGTAACTTAGAGCGCAACGTATCATGGACCCATAATGGAAGTCCTTTATACGTAAACTTTTACGAAATACGTAAAAGCTTCAGTAATCCGAGATGTGCAAGCTTTATCGGTCTCTATGCTGAGGAATGTCATCCAGCAATAAAGTCACATAAAAAAAATGCCTTGGGATGGGATATGAAAATCCAGTACGTTGGATTTTCTCGATAAACAAAACAACATGGGCTGTAAGGTGAAAGTGCATGCACACCTTAGCCCAAGTGGTCTTAAGTACACATCCTTTTTTTAGGACTTAAGGTTCATCTTGCTCCCCATCCACTTTTGATTTATTATCAATGCACAATCCTCTCGAAATATCTTTATACAGTACTATGACTTGTACTTGTACTACCCGTCTTCCATTATGGGTGCACATCACTTTGTAAGAAACAAGTTACGCACTTTCACAGCGAGTTGAAGGAATGACACCAAACTGAAAGGTCCTCCGGACCTGAAGGGACACCCGCATCTAATTGGACCGCTTAAGTATGTCACCCCGTTCGGTACGCGCGGAGCCGAGTGGTTGCCTTTGCGTGTCAGATGGCGGAGAAGTGCTCCTGACAAGCGGACGCTCGCCGCGCGGTGGGGCTGCATTTGGTTAGCATGGTGATCTGGGTGCTAAAGTTGTTGCCGTTGCTGCCTATGGAGGGCTGCTGGTACTTTGTGTCTGCGCCCAGGAAGCGCTGTAACATCCATCTGCGCCACTTACGCTTAATCTCCGCCTGCACCTGCAGGGGAGGCCGGGGAGGTAGAGAAAACACGGTGGAGAGATGGCGCTCGCAAAGTGGAGAGCCAGTGATATAATAGGCCGGTAAACATTTTAGGCAGCTATTTTGGTCTTTGCTTACCTCTCCATTAAGGAAACAGTACAAGACAGCAACGACGAAACCCTGTCGGAGAAAGAATATGTTGCCAGCATTCCGACTGCACACGCATTTTTTAGAATGAATAATGTCTTTGGGACGAGGACCAATTTGAGGCTCAGATAACAGAAAGTTGGATCTCTGGGAAAATTTCCCAGGGGATAACATTCTTTTTTAAAACCCCCATTCATCACTGATTGTTTCCATCTTCAGGGCTCCATCATGTCTTTTGCTCTCACCATCAATTTACTAGTGCCTAAATCTGCATTTTTTGGGTTCCCTTTAAATCTTACAAAATGAAACACTTCGGACCGTCTTCTGCTGCATTCTTTGTTTGAGTAACGGACCAGATATTTAGTTTGTTTTGCCATTTCTTTTATGTCATCAGCCGAGAGACCTGTCATAGTCTTGACGGGTCGCGCTTCATCTTTCATCTCTTGTGTTGTAGCTCATAGGAATCTTTACCTGAAAGGACCCCAGGATAAGATCAAACACCATCCTCAGCTGTGGGTGAATGTGGTCCGGGATGACGGCAAAGATGATGTAGTTTATCCCAAAGAGAGGTATCAAGAGCAGTGTGGATTTAGCCAGTCTCCTGGGGAGGGGGGGAACCAAGGGTTCAGATGAAGAGGCGCTTTATTGAGCTGGGAAAACAGTGGTCACGAAGCACCAAACTACATAACGTCAACACACCTTTTCTTTCAGGAGAGCTTCACTCAAAAATTAAGGTGTTGTTGTTAGTGGGAGTGGGGGGCGGGGGGTATATATCAATTTTCAATCAACACGAAAATTGAAAACTGCATCGATTCTGGAAAACTATACAGTATGACTTGATAACGTGTTTACGTCTTGGTCAGACTAATTTCGAATGAAAGAAATGGTGTTGTGCATGAAGATATTTCACATGCCCTCAAAACCTACGAGTACTGATTGGATTCCTTTCTGCCGATGTCGGGACAATTCATCTTCTGCCGCAAAATCCGGATGATACAGATGAAGAGGAAAAAGTTGACCTGCCAAGAAAGTAGCAGACAACTAAATACAACGCCATTCTCGAGAGCTGTGCGGTAAATGTCACTCACAAGAATGGTGACGAGAATGGGCGTTTTGATGATCCACCAAGGTTTGTCATCAATTATTTCCCAGCATCTGGCGGAAAAGACAACATCGTCAGGAACTGAATGTTGCTAATATTGATAACATCAGCAATGTGAGTCATCTTTATATGCATGCTAACAGCTGCCAATCAAACACAAAATACCGCTAATAGTTTGGCAGGAAGACGCGAGTCCACAGGTGCTGGGGGCACTTACGTAAAAGGCAGGCTATCAACATTTGTCATTTAAAGACCATGCAAAAAAATATAAATATAGATATTTCGATGTATCCCGTTTTTAGGAACAGTAGATGCTAATTGAGCATGGCAACAACGACAACAAAAACACAATGGATTGCTCTGTAAAATACACAGTAAAAATGGCAATGATTTTTCTCCAGATGAGAGGGTGCTAATGCTTTGCCGTAATTCCCCAACAGACTGTGACAAAGAGAATGGAAAAAAAAGACCACGGTTATTCTCACCCAAGATCATTTAAATAAGCCTTTGTAATCACCCATGCTGAGATAAAGATGGTTGGAGCCACTGCAAATGACAAATATGAATAGATCATTAGATTTGTCCCCTGGACAAATATATCGAAAGAACCAAAATACGGCAATGACCTTTTTGGCAGAGGTTGTGAATGAGACGGAATGAAATGTTGCGTTTTGGATCGTCTCAGCACGATTCATCTTGGCACACACTACAATTCTGGCATATTTATGAGTATATTTATTCGCTATTTCGGTGGCGAAGGGAAAATGGCTGGCAAAGAAAATATTTGGATAAAAATGAAAAAGCGGCTCTCCGGTTGCTCCCGCTTACTCTCTTCGGGGTCTCGGGTGATGAGTCAAGGCAAGCCGACTTGGGCCACAATGGAGAAGGGTGCCAGCCAATCCCGAGACACAAACAACACAGCAATTCCCACTCACATAAACACCAATTAGCAATTGAGATTCTCCTATCAACACACCGGAGCTCATATGAAAATTCCAGTGAGAAAGACCCGCGCCCGTATTTAAACCCACAAACTTTCATCCTTTTCCCATTCAGGGTTCCTATTGCCGACATTACAAATGCACGCCGAGGGCTCGATTGCTTTGATGGCTATTCATGATTGTTATGTCTGCCACGGCTAGATGGGATGACTTAAGTGGGCTGTTTTCAACCGCAGCTGCCTGCTGCAGACCAAACTAAAGCAATGCTGATCCATATGCAAATGAAGGCACGGTTATTATCCTCGAGCATCGCCGCCGCATCATTCGCTGAACGCACAGCGGTGGTTGTTTTACCGAAAAAAGCATTCGGTGTGCACCCTGCCCGAAAAGCGTTGACACAGGCATTGAGTGACCTCCGAAATGTGAGACATCGGCGTACGTTGACATACCCCAGCCAATCAGGATGTACCACCAGAAGTATTTCCTCTCTGAGAAGAAGGAGACGGCGAGGAGAGCGTGGAGATACAGGCCTTCCACCAGCAGCCAGAAGTAACTGGCCATGATCGCGTATTGGAAGAAGACCATCACTGCCTTGCAGCCCACCTGAAAATCATCCAGAGTTGGTCATTTTTGGTCAAGCTCTTCTGTTGGATCTCATTACATTGAGCAAGCGCACTTAGTGTTGTGGCCAGTGAGTGTCGCGACACAGACGGTGCATTATTTGAATTGTTGTTGTTTTAAAAGCAACTTTTAATTCAGAATTTGGTCACTGTCAGAACTTTTCTTTTTTTTCCTGTGATTTTTTTCAGGGTGTTTTGACAGGCCGAATTGTAAACTGTAAATTGATCTCTAAAATGTTGTTCATTTCACTTGGAATGTTCACAAATGGCAGAGACATGGAGCAGCTGTGTTTGAAGTGGGAAAATCTGCGGACCCGGAGGAGGAAATATCTCAGCTCTGACATTAAGGCTTGCAAAGGTGATTTATAGCCAGCAGATCTAATCAACTCAGGTAATCAAGCAATGGATTCTACCGGGGCAAGATCCGAGACACGCACATCTGACGCCGGTAACTTGATCCGGTGCATAAAGATAAAATAGTCGCCTCCCTACATTAAACAGTTCAAAAACCAGTAGCTTCAACTGCTTATTCCAACCGTCCTCTGGCATGGTTTGTCTTTCTAATCAGAGCGCCGCATGAAGTGAACAAAAAGACCGTAGCAGAAGCGAATGTGATTTATTGACAAAAGTTCAGGCGTAAAGTTCAGCAAACAGGAACTCTCACAACATCCTGCTGGACAAATGAATGGGGAACACTCTGAGGAGTGGAGAGGATTTGACAAACAGTGCTGCACCCAGTGTCAGGTTAAGCAAACTTCTAGACAACGCTTTCATGGGAGGGAATAATCGAGTCCGAGAAATGCAGTCAACGACAAAGCGGAACTACTTTCAGGGTCGGGTCAATAGAGTCAGACTTTAAATAGTGCCTCGATATTATACTCACAGATGAATGGCAACTGTCCGTCTCGCCAACGTCATACAGAACGACGTCCTTGATGAAGACTGCGACGGCTTTCAGAATGAACGACACAAAGAGATGCATGTGGATGTAGTTCCTTGTGCAGTGAAGCTTCCTGGAACACAACACAACTTCGATGTACACTTTGTGTGTGTGTGTGTGTGTGTGTGTGTGCCTGTGCGTGTGTGTGTGCGTGTGCCTGTGCGTGTCCGTGTGTCTGTGTCCAAGCATGCAAGCATATTTTTTTTCATGTGAAATGATGTCACAATCCTCAGCATTATTGGTTGTTCATCACTGAGGATAAAGAATACATGCGAGTAGTGTGATATTTGTATTACTCCCCCGTTTCCGTTCAAACATTCATTGCTTAAAGTGTTAAAACACTGCCACCAATATGCTTATTTTTAGTCTATCCATGGTATTTCCCGTTATGTATTAACATCGGCATTATGCTAGAGAATTTTAAGACTAAGCTGTGCGGGTGCCGAACTGCTGCTCGTTGTGCAGTAAGCATAGTTCACTGCAACCATACAGCTCTTGTATCTCAAGGTGGCGCTGAAAGTCAAAATATTACCCCCCCCCCAAAAAAACAAAAAAAAAACAAATCTACCGAATGACGGCTTGTATCTCGAAAACTTCATTCCTCATGCAACTCAAGACTCCAAAGATAAAGCATATCCCTGGGAATAATAAAATAAAATGTATCATGCCCAATGTATTGCACCAGTTCTCGGAATGTCAAACTGGTAAGGGGGACGGTGGGGGTGAAGTGCATAAACCGTTGCGCGAGTCCTCGCTGACGGTCGGGTGCAATCCCGAACAACATTATCCAGCTGCCCAATATTAACAGAAAACACATCCTGTATTTGTCCTCCATAGTCCAAACCATTGGCATTTTAGAACAGTGAGACGTAAACACAAGCCTTGCTGTCCAACCCTGCACAGCCGTGCACACACGGCTGAGAAGAATGATGTGTTTATTAGTGGCCACACCCCCCCTCACCACTTACTCTAACGATTTGGGCTTGTGTCATTTATTCGTGCACACGCATACTCTCTGTGTGCAAACAGAAGGTCAAGGGGAAACATGCTGTGAACAACGCCGGCTCCCTCGCTAAGTGGATGGACTTTATAGGTGCTTTCAGCGCACTTCTTTGTTTGTCAAAGGTTGCAACAGCATTTGGGTGTAAGTCACGCGACGTGAAAAACAACTTCATGGAAGTAAGATGTGAAATGAGGTGGGCTTTATCACATCCAATGGAGGGAAGGGAAGAAATGTGCTCGGTCGTCAGCACGGGACATTTAGAAGCGTCTCGATAAATCTCCTTACCGGAAGAGGCACAGTATGATGATGGCGACGGTGAGCGAACTAAGCGACACACTGTGACCGATGGTGTAACCAACTTTGACGGCGTCAAAGAAGTCTCCCTGCAAGAAGACACATATAGTGAGTCGCCAATAATGTGGGATGACGCCAGCTTGGGTTGCCGTACCGACCGTATCATCATCATCCACCGTGCTGTTGGGATTATAGCCGCAGTCTATTACATAGGAATCACTGCTCATCGGAGTCCAGCCGTCTTCCGTGCAGGTCTTGGACAGGTTACCTAATGAGCAGAATGACAGACAGGAGTTGCAGCTGTGTGAGTCCCAAGAAAAGCAACCGTTGCATTCGCTCACACTTAATTATGTGGCGCGGGGATGGATTCTCACTGGAATGCCTCCAAATGCTAAAAGGAAATGGGAAGTATGACTGGAGGGGATCAGCAGTCCCGGCGGCTCAGAGATACCAGGCCAGTTCCCACATGCATTTGCCTCTATCTGTCTCTTAATTACTCCGACTTGAAGAAAAGCCCAAGAAGTCAGTCGGGCAATGAGGTATTTTTACTCTGCCCAGCCCGCGGGGGTACAAGGCAAAGGTTCACGTACATCTGACAGAGAAGAGTCGGCTCGTTGCCGTAGGATCTGAGGAAGAGCTCACTGAGGTACGGCACTAAAGACGACAGAGCTCAGAATACACCGATGGTCTTCAGACAGGAAACCAAAGCTCAGAAAGCATGCTAGCCAAGATCCCAGAATCGAGAAATAAGTCCTTTATTAGTCCCATGAGGGGAATATGTACAGTATTTCCTCGACGTGAACTTGGAATTGAACTAGTGGTGGAAGAAAGCTGAAAATAAAACAAGCAGGCCATGTATTCGGGGCCGCTGGCCGATGATTTTGTTGTTTTTTTTACGAGATGTGCGATTGAGTCATTCATGGCACTGATGACATCCCCAAGTTGCCGACTTTGGCCTTGTGTTTGTACACAGTGACTGGACCCGGTCATTTCCTGCCTTGTAGGGTGACTGATCCAGGTTTAAGCCCACAATCGCTCACATGTTGCCACAAGACCTTCCTTGTAAAAAGGCCGAGACGGTAAGCACAGTGTTTGGAGTCCCTTCCCGGGTTGCTGAAATGGCACCAAGCACAAAACAGCAGCATTCAATGCAGCATTTCCTCACTTGCTTTTTTGTTTGTTTTTTCTCTCCTTTGACCGCGACGTAAAGTTTGTGATGGGGCCTTTGACACATCACATTTAGCTTGATGTGCACATTTTAGGTATTGAGCCAGCTTCGCAAAAGCCCCAAAATATCTCTTTCTTGTAACTCTACATCAAATTCAAATGAGGTATATCTTATTCTTCAAACAGGGATAACAAGCAGACAATGACATTTGTGTTGGTTGCTGTCTTAAACATATGCAGGATGTTAAAGAGAAAAAAAAAACATTTCCCCTGTCTTCAAAGAAAGGAGGGTGCCAAAAAGAATCCATGTACTGATTACAGCTTTACATTCCAGTTATTTCCCAATCTTATCGCGCCGCAGCCTTCATCAAAGGCAGGCCAAGATGGGAATTGACCAACAATCCAATTCTTCGAAATTGTTGGCATTAGAATATGTTGGACTCCCAAATACCTGAGAAGAGGGAGCTTTAGCTCACTCAAACAACATGACAGGACACAAAGGAGATGATAAGCCCCTGCTGTTCTAGCTCGTGCACCCGCTGGATTTGGCATGTTTGAGGGGCTGCCAGAAGAATGCTTTCATCATCCCCCAAGTCTGTGCCATATACGACAACTAGGCGAGCTCAAACGAGTTAATCACCCAGTATCGTTTTGATTTCATTTCTTTCTCTTTTTTTTTTAATAACCTTACCTCTCATGCAGGAAGGTTCCATAGGCATCCAAATGATTAGCTGCAGCTCATTTCTAATGCCGCACAAAACAATCTTGAGGTTGTTGACGGTGAAGTGCAATATTTTCAAAAGAGAGTAAATACTGTAACTTATTGTTAGAATAACTAGAATACAGTCGAACCTTCTTACAACGTACCTCGAGGGACGGAACAAATCTGCACGTTCTAACGGTAGTTCGTCAGAAACATTTCTCATAAAATGGCCGCCAACGACGATGTATAATACAGTACGAACATTTATCGGCGAAAAAACATGAACGTGTAATACAGTGTAAACATGTCAATTACGTATATACATTATGAGGAGATTTTGATTTTGTAAGACAGGAAACAAACAACTGGAGCGTTCCTACTGAATCTCTGAATACATTCCGTCAGCAAATGTTACCCGGCGTAGGCAACTGCCAGTGCCGCCGACGAAGCCAACTGTCGTCAATTTACGTCGTCTCGACTGAGCTTCCTTTCTTAAGTGAGAGACAATTTCAGCCCTTACAAACAGCGAGCTGTGCTTCTATTTACCAGACATGTTCTGAGACGATGTGCGCTGTGCCTCCAGAAGCTGCAACAACGTACGCGTCCGATCAGCCATGTTGCTAATCATCGGAGGGGAATCCCGCGCTGTACATTTTATTCATGAGCAAGGTTGTTAGCTTCTCACGGTTCGTTCTAAGGAAGGCTTTTTCATTATTTTGTGGGAAAAACCCGGTCGTTATAACGAAGTTCTAAAGGTGTTCGTTGCAAGCAAAATCGGCAAATGGAAACTGAATGACGTGAAATTGGGACTTTCAAACGTGAACGCTCTAGCGCTGAAAACGTAAACGGGCTACGTTGAAACGAGATTCGACTGTAACAACGAAGAATGGTATCCTTTCTCTCTCAGCTACATTTATGAATTGACCCCAAAATGTCAACGGTGCCGTGTTGTGTAATGCTTGCTCTAATTAGAGGGCCGACTCGCGGAAAGTGTCAATAACAGCGAGCTTTGGCCAAGTGCAACTGACATTTGGAAAAACTCAACTGGATGCATTCGGGTGTGTTGAATAAAATGCACGAGGTTGTCACCCAGCTGCCACAGAATGTATTGAATCCAAGTCCTCCCAAAATAACCTGAGCACAGCAAGTTCCTCCAGCAGAGACCTGCAATGATTTGTTGATTTAAGCAGAAGTGAGTTCACTTCCCTTGGCCGGCCCCTCCTCTCTTTCAGGCCCCCCTTGTCTCATGCCGGTCTCTGCTCTTTTAACATATGCCTAAAAATATTCCTCTCTCTTCCAAATTCGGGATTCTTCTTCTTTTCCCATTTTCCCCGGAGCTCCCTTCATTCTCAGGTCCCTCTCGCGACCCGGGAAACTCGTCTTTGAGGCAACCAACCTTTCACTTGCTGGTGATAAATCCTCAGTGGGCGTGGCTTCCCTGCACGTTCCCCATCGTAAGCAGCGCGTAATGCGTTGCGGGATCCAAGGACTCCTTCCCCAACTTGACAGTCTCTGCTCAGGTCACCATTTAGATCAAACCTTCAACTTGACATGCCTGGAGTTTGTAATCTTGGTTTTCCGAAAAATACTGCTACTTATTTCATCGAAATGGGCGTTTCACGAGCGGACATTTGAAATGCTGAACAGCAGAACGTTTGAACATTTTCTACAATACATTTTTCAATGCATTTCTAATGTGCGTAAGAGAATTTTCACTATTAGCGGGTCTCTATCTCCCGCGATTATCCGAGGGTGCAGTCTAATATTATGTTGAACTTTTTCATTATTCTGATTCTTTTTTTCTGATGACTGTCAAAAAAAGAAACGCCCTCAACATCTAAATCCGAGTCATCAGATATCCTTCTCTGCCAGATAAAGGGTGAAACCAAGTCCATCTATGGGTATGGGAATGAGCCATTTGAAATTATTTCAAATGTCATCAAATAGCTACACAAAGATGCAATCATTCTTGGATCATTGATGTTTGAGCCATAATTACGGAAAGCTTTTCATAAATGCATCATAAAAACAACGAACAAGGCCTTTTAAAACACCAAATTAAAGCTGTGCGCCTTCATGTTTCGAACAGGCTAATTTCTCAAGGGTAATGAACTACACTCCCATGCGGATGAAAAGCATAATTTGAGCATAATTGCACGGAAGAAAGTAGGCACGATGCTTTATGACAAATTGCAATACATGCAAACCTCAGTGAGACTAATCTCAAACGCGCTGCTCTACAAAGCATTGAAATCTCTGCGGTGTCACTTCCACATAATTAGCTGTGTCCCCATGAGGCTGAAGCTTGGATTACAGCAGCGTAAATGGATAAATAAACACACAGCGCATCTCTCATGAGACAGGGTGATGTACATAATTGAGTTGAGAAATTTTTTTTTTTCTCTTTTTGACTTGGTGCCATCATACCGGGTGATTTAATGCTGTGCTCTATTGGGCGGGGTATATCAGCAAGCAGAAAGATAAAATATACTTGTTATCATCTGACATCCTGTGCCGTTTGATGTGATGAGGTCAACGATGGCAAACATTCGAAATACCTATAAAAGGGAGGTTATGAGTGCAGAAAAATGAGATGCGGATCGCTGACCTCTAATAAATACTGCAAATTGCATCTCCATCAACTTGCACGCTTTATGCTGAAGTCCAATACAGTATACGACTTTTTATGGCTTGATGATTTGTAACACTAAGGGCCCTATCTTCGTAGACCGGTGCCCGTGCGCTTGCCGCAACTTCATTTTTATGCCGGTGCAAGTGTAGTCTTCCGTGTTTGGTGCCTCATTGGGTGTTCCGGCGCACGAAGCTACCGCGCCCCCGATGCATCTGACAATTCGGTCGCAAAAAGTAGACTGTATGAGGAGTAAAAAATGGTCACATGTTCATTTCCATGTCAGGGAAAGTGTAAGTTTGGCGTTTGCGAATTTAGTAGACCACACTACACATCGCGAGGCGCTCGGAAAGACCAAGGGCGTTTTCCATTACACTACTCCAACATACGTGCCAATTTGGTGTAAAAAAGTAGACACAATTTTTAGACTACCGAAAAGCAGGTCTAAATGTTGGCACGGGTGGTTTACGGTGATTTTGGTGTATTTGACTGACAGATTTGGCGCTCCGCGGACATGTGTGGTGGATGTCATCGTATTTCATTCATAAATATGACAACGGTGCGGGACTATCCCACTGAATCATCGTAGAGATCGATTCATTGAACAAATTGTAAAAAAAACATTTTTGACTGCATTTCCCCTTCAAGGGTAATATTACGTAGCCTGCATGCGATTCTTACGTGTTGGAATCTCCCTGGAGAAGTAGAAGAGATACTTGGGGCATGGGATGGTGACCACCTCCCCAACGTCAGCATTTGGCCAGCAGGTGATCTTGTCCCACATCCCGCTGCAGCCTGGATGACACGCACACAATCAAAGTAAAAATCCTTTGTGAGATATGGAAACGTTTGTACCGTCAAAGTTGCTCAGCATCAGAATTAGTGTTCCCATGGCAGCCCCAATGTCAGATTCATCACAGGAGTAAACACTAAGCTGCCACCATGACTAATGCAAAAGCCCCCCCGTCCTTTGTTACACACTCTGATTTGAATTCATCAGTTGGCCGGGACGTTCCACGGAGCATTTGATCTCAGGATACAGAAGTGGGTCACCGCACATCAACTTACATCTGCTCATTATTTTTTCGGTGAAATGTTTAGCGTTTGCCTGGTTGACGTGAACGGCGTTGCTCTGGTGATATAGTGGCGTGAACGCTTCAGGGAATCAAGAAAAGGAAAAATGAGCTGCAGATGAAACAACAAATGAATCAAGGCGACCATGAACAGGTTCAGGACGTCGAGAAAATGAATGGCTGGCATGTTTTGGGGAGCCAAAACCGAGATGACAAGCGTAGTTGATATGCTAACGGCTATTCCACTCTGTTGCCTGTCAGAGAAATTGTGCAAAAAATACTCAACCAATGGAACAGAAGGACGCGCATTCAAGAAGGTGAAATGTCCATAAATGTCTTGTGAGCAGGGTCCTCTGAATTGTATTAAAACATCCAAGTCGGGTTTCCTTCACTTTGTCTCCAAAATGTACATTTCGAGGAAACTTGGCCGTGCCTCCTGATGAGCTCATTTCTCATCGTATCCAACTCCGGCCACTCCTAAAGACAACTTCAATTTGTTAAATCCGCTCCACCACTTTTGCTTATGGAGCAGCAAGCGATCTGGGCTGGTCGAGGAATCGGCAATCCAGGTATTCCTATATTGTTTTCTTATAAGCAAACACAATTGTTTGGAAGTACCGTCGCGCCATCTTGTTTCTTTAAGGGACACTTCATTAACATAAAAACTGTGATCAGCGGAGTTTGTTTATTTAGGGATTTGAGCTAAGCCCACATGATGAGGGTCTGGCAGCAGGAGCAAAAGCGTGTGCAACCACGCAAGATTACAATGCCAGGGGAGGTTTGAACAACGTTTGTTGTCTTTTGAGCCTGTTTTGTCACTTCCATCCTGACATTCTGTGGAATTAGCAAATAAGAATGGGGAAAGAACATAATAAAGGTCGGCGTTCCATCAGGCGACATACCTGATGTTTTGTTCTCAATTTGAGCCTGGCACAACTCTTTCTCATTGTCGAGCTCCGTCATCACGTCGCACATCTGATTCTGCATGGGAAACACCTGCAAAGTAAACATACGCCACATCGTTCTCGGCGCGATACCTCAAGTGCAGGGGAGGAGATGAAAATTCTTTCTTGAGTGCTTTTCATATCGAGGTGAAATCTCATTGATTGTTTCCCGAAAATGATCCAGACGTGAAGCAGCTGTGAATTTCCTCCTCCTCATTTCTTAGTCACGGAGAGTAACACCATACTTCGATACGCGGCACTCCTTATTGCAATCCGAGTCCAACTGGGAAATCTATCAGGTTAGTGTACTCAGAATAGCTTGGGGTTTGATTTTCTAGAATTCCCTTTGCGGGCAAAAATGAACGTGCACTATTTATTTGTCAGCATGGCCCTCCATGAAACCATCCTGACATATGGTGTATAGTGTACATTTTTCTATGAACGTACTTACAATACTGTGTGGATGCTGTTTTTAATGGCCATTGAGAAACAGCAAGGGGCAGACCAAGGCATTAATATTAATAATTATTATTATTATATATGGGGGGGGGATACATTGTTGTTGAATTGTGTTTCGTCTTATTGGCGTGAGTCTTGTTGGCAACAGTGAAACTGTCCTGTCCTTCAGACTATACAAACATGACAACCATATCATCTCGACAGAGTACCAGGCATCAATTAAGGGTATGGCATTTACTGGGAGGCTTCATTTGCACAAGTGCATTTCATAATATTCATCAAGAGACCGATTTGAAGTATAACGCTTTTACTGATTCAGTAACACAACGTGGAATTAGTTGAGTGTCTTTTTGAACGGAAGTCATTATTTGAAGCGAGTTTACGGGGAGGTCACACTATTTTTGTGATATTTGGGGGTTTTGTTTAGTTTTTTCCTCCAATAAATACACGGAAAGATAAATTGTGTTGTTGACAAATAAATCGAATGATGTCCGAAGACTGGTGTACAGTATTGCCCACATTCATTGCAAAGCGCTCTGTTTGGGCTTTGACCCCTGACTGTTGAATTCGCGCATAAATCATACATGCTTCTCCACAGGAGACCGATGTAGCTGGAAACCACTAAGTGAGGAGACAGACAAAGGAGGCTGTTGCCATGGTGTCGTGTTGAGCGGACCATTACATCCCTGATCCGAACCGGGCATAAAAACACATGAGTGTCAGTGACAGACCATTAGACTGTTTGGGGTGGTCGATGCCCATCACAAAGGCCGACTGAGTCCATGTGCATGTGACAAATGATGGAGCAAGACAACGGAATCCCTCAGGTCAAAAAAGTTTAGAAAAACACCATCAGGGGGATATTGTTTCTTTTGTTCGGGTTTAAAAAAAATATCAAGAAGTTATTGAAACAAAACATTGTCGGGGTGTATGACTGCGCTGTTCCTCTTTCTCCGTCACTCTTCTCCTGAGGTCACAACGGCGCGCAATGCATCCAAAACAAACTGTTCACTAATCGCCTGCTTCGTGTGCGCATATCACAGCTGCAAAGTTCCATATAGACGAACGTTATTTGGCGGACGCGGTGAGCGTTTCCCGAAAGGAGGTCAGTGGTGTGTTTAGTTGTACTCACGGGCTGCGGCAGCATGCAGGACACAAGGATGAAAAAGCTCCTCGAAAGTTCCGCAAACATATCCCTTAAAGACGTGTATTGCTCAGCCAAAAAAAAAAAAAAAAAGAAGAAGAATATATGTTTGGTCAAAAATATATATACGGTAGGACTGGATTAGGATGATTCCTCCTGGCTGACTTGTGCGTTCTTGCGCGCGGAGAGCAACGCGAATGCACGAGTGCGTTTCGGCGAAGCGCTTCTCCTCCCACTAAGTGCGCCCAAGTGACAAGTAACCAATGGAAGCCGCCCTCTGGGCGGCAGGGCACACCTTCCGCACACCTTCCAATTCACTTCCTCCATCGTTTGTTGCTTTAAATGTATTATTTGAATCCGCTGTTTGTGTTACGGGATAATATACGACCGCCGAGGGAAGCTCGTGGGTCACGATTGCACTTTCAGCGGCCACAGCATTAGGTACACTTACAGAGCAAACATTGTGCCTTACTGCTACTTTATATGAGCATTGCACTTCCAAGACCGGACGTAGATAAATTGTTCAATTTGGTTCCCACGTACACTGCTGAGCCTAATGCATACAAAGCTGTACAGTAGATAAGATAACGCTCAGTGATTTTCAAGGGCAACGCAAATGTACTTTATTCAAGAGTTGTATGTAGTCGGCACACATGAGCTCCATATATTGACTGCAACACTATGACCACTTGAATGAGATCCCATACAAGAGCCGTTCCAAAATTAGATTCTAGTTGCAGTTGGCGGTACAGCTTCACTGCATCACTTCTATTAGGTGTTCCTACAGAATTTGGAAATTGCTCTTGTGTTGTTTGGAAGTCATGACATACAGATGGCCAAGCTCGTCAGGGGTGAACATTTTACACATGAGCTCCATATGTTGACTACAACACTATGACCACTTGAATGAGATCCCATACAGCAGCTGTTCCAAAAAAAAAATAGATTCTAGTTGCAGTTGGCGGTACAGCTTCACTGCATCCCTTCTATTAGGTGTTTCTACAGAATTTGGAAATTGCTCTTGTATTGTTTGGAAGTCATGTCATACAGATGGCCAAGCTCGTCAGGGGTGAACATTTTTGTCACTTATTTCCAACCATAGACTCGCTGAGTTGTGTTGAATGCATGTGCTTTGACGTGTGGTTTTCACTCGCCCGCTTTTACGCACAGCGGATGACTCACCACGGCTTATAAATGCTTTGATGAATGTCAGAATCCTAATGGGATTGGAAATCATATGCAGCTGTTGTTCTGGGCAAGTTGGAGGAATTTGTTTGCAGCGCTCCACTCGCCAGGGTCAACGTCTGCTCATCAGACTCTTGGTTTTCTGACACGGTATGTACCCCTTGAAATGTTAAGGTTAAAAGATACATGTTAATAATTAGCTATTTTTAAAAGATTAAAGGTCTTTGTGTCATCTTTCATCCCATGTGCACGACCGAACCTCACTTGGCCCAGACAAGTCCAAGGACTTCCGTTGAGGCGCCGTGACTAATATTTAATTGCTGGGTAACATCATTGCCATCGTTATCGTTGTCAAATGGGTTTGGATAATGAAAACATACTTGAACGCAAGGTCAAGTATGCACATGTGAAAAGAGGCACTGTCATGATCGTCATTCGTTGGAAGACCGACAGAAAAATTGCTGTGTATCCAAACGTGCAGATATTTCTTTTTTCACTTATGAACTTTCACGCTTTGAGGAACAAAAAGAGCAATTCGCAATGGAAGAAAAGGGGATACGGGAATGACAGGCGATATAAAATTTGGCCCGCGTCGCCGTATTTGCAAAGACATCACACACTGGCAGTCGGTACACAGAAAGCAAAGGAGTAAAAAAGGGAAGTCGGCAATCTTTCACTTATTCATCACTGCGGTGATGCAGCTCGGCGTGACAAGCGCGTTCCTGCACATAAATGGTTCCTGAACTCACAGTGGGGAGAACCAGTCACAAAGACTTGTCACACGGTACATGAAAAAGCCTGATGTAACTCAGGGCATTTTGACTTGGATTCAACCTGGGCAAGTCTTTTTGCCCAATACCGGCTGAGATTAGTTTGAGTTAGCCTCAATCGTGGATCCTGAAACTAAATGTAACGACAAAGCTATGTAAACGCAGCGCTATAATCTTCATTGAACAAAACACCCTCTTGGCTGTCACGGCGCAATCAGACCTATAGAAATACAAAAAACAAGATCAGTAGAAGAAGAAATAGAAACGATGCTAACATTTGGCTTCTCTGGTCACGACAGTGGGTGGGCAAATTCTTTTCTTGCAAACCAACGACAGAAGGACTCCGACTGGCTCGAGTCGCGCACATTTCTGCCTCGTCTGATGGAGTAAATTTGATTTTCTTGCAAACTTGCAAACCAACGATAGAAGGACTCCGACTGGCTCGAGTTGCGCACATTTCTGCCTCGTCTGATGGAGTAAATTTGCTCACAGCGCAGTTTGGGGGTTTGCCTCAGTGCGGCCGGGCCCCAAACGGGCCGAGGCTCGGTGGCTGGGGACCGGTGCTCTACTGGTACACAAAGCTACGTCGGTAAAGGTATGATTGGGTGAGTTTGGTGTGGAAGCACGTGATAGTCCTGGCCTCCAACTCATCAAACATATTTGAGGTTGAGCTGCCGTAGATCGGGCCTCCCTTTTTGTTTAACATGGGTGACCTGAGAACATTTGGCAGAGGCTCCAGGTTTTTTGTCCAAGTGCCCTACAGTACATGCTGCCGCACTGACTATATTGACACGTTATACAAACAGTGCCGTTTGGGCCATGTAAATATATGCCTAACTTGACTCCTCGGCTTGGTCTGGCGCGGGCCGCTAACGCTTGTAAAACAGCAACTTGAGACTATTATTCAGAAAAAATAATGATAACATTCCAAAAAAATCTTAGCTTTAACTTTTACCATTTTTTGTTTCTAGGTTTCAATTTCGATACATTGCACAATAAATAGGATGGGATAAATATGCATGTTACATATTTATTGAACCATAAATAGTTACAAATTAAGCTGTACATTAAGCTGTAGGCCGGGATTCGAAAAGCACAATTAACCAGGTAAGATAAAATATAGTGGTACCTCAATTTAACAGATAAGGGGTCATCTGTCAAAGCCGATTGTCGGTTACCTTGTAGTCCTTTTTTTGGTGGTCTAAAAACACTCTATACATTGCAAAATGATTGTTTTGTACCTTTTTGAGAGTCAAAAAAATCCCCAGTACAGTACACAATTGTTAATTAACAAGTCTTTAAAAGAAAAAAAAAGTGTGAAACTGTTTTGTAAAAATTTTAAGTGTTATCCAGACTCGAATTGCTGCCTGGGGAGGATCGCCCGGTTGCATTGTTGAACCACGATGTTAGCGCTTCCTTTTTCACCTCAATTGCAATTAGATGGCATAGATAAGGGTTTTTAAAAACAACAACCATGTTCTGTACCAAAGATGAGTACGGGACTAGAGCCTGAGTAAACAGCCATAGATATGAATAACAAGGCCCTGCAGGGCCTTTGGAGGGACAAGGGATCAAAGTTGAAAAGGGGTCATCTGGAACTTTTTTTTTTTTGGCGAGTATGAATAATACTGGACAATTTTTATGCAAAGGTCTATTGTATTTTTGTATTTACAGAAACAGAGCAGGAAATAAGGGCATCTTTTTTTAAATGTAATTTCAATCTGACTTCAGGGCTGTTGCAGTCTTGGGCTCATAACCTGCTAGCAAAGCGATCAACACTGCAGGCTACATTCTCCATGATCAATACAATGTGAATATCTCATTATATGGACACCAGAGATATAAACACATACGACAGGCTTCATCTATCAGCGAGAAAGAGAGAAGTGCTTTACCTGACACTTTCGATAATTGCCTGACACTTTCAATAACACTGTGCTATTCGACGGTCGCGTGTGGGGTTAGCGACGCCAAGTGGACAGCAATGACACCTGCAACTCACACTCACACGGGCGCGCGCACACTCGTTTAACTGTGAATGTGTCTTTACTACTGCGTTAGCGTAGTGATCGTCTCTAACGCTCCCCGATTTAGGTACACGTTCAGGATACATCTTTTTTTTTAGGTACAGTAATTATGACTTTCTGAACTTCCGATCACTTGTCGATTTTATGAAACAGATTTGGTGCCATCTTGCGGTCATACATATTTGCTGTGAAACTGGAAATGTTTTTATTGGCTGCTCCAAGCATGGCGTAATACGCGTGAATGAGGAAATGAAGCAAAACAATCGGCTTCAGTCGTAGATCTAATCTACGCGTACGTTGTAAGTTTTGCTGGTGTTATTTTCTTTTCCAACGAATGTTTCTATTTTTTAACTGCATTTAGGAAACGAACCCGGTGTGTGTTTACCCGCTGATGTGTCTTAGCCGAGTGTGCCTTTTCAGAGTGCCCAAATGAGTGACTTTAAAAGCTCCCTGATTTTTTTGGGAATAGGATCCAGTTTTGCCTGTTCAGGGCTGTTCTATCATTTATACAAAGAGAAGAAAAAGGAGCTGATCAAGCTGAAGGTAAGTGAACCCCACTCTTGAAAGCATCCTTTCTTTTGACTCGTTCGTCTATTCAAGGTCGTTTCGTTGTAGGAAATCCCAGTATTCCGACCAGATCAGCATTTGGCTACACTGCTGAAATCATCTCCTCACGGGAGGCTCCAATATGTCGCAGTAGAAGGTGCAAAAGTACATTACGGATGGGAAATGCTAAAATGATGAGCCCTCTTTATGAAATTCAAATAACCCCACTGTGCTTAACTTGTTACATTCACAAGAACGGAGACATCGCCTCCCCGAGGCCAAAGAAAACAAGTGACCTGTTTGCTGAATTGACAGCTGTTGATAAAGTGGTTTACATTTCGGGGGCCATTTAAATACAATTCAGCAGTAATCGATATATCAAGTGTGGCTTCAAACCAAGTTGGTGTGTTTGAGGCCGTCTCACTTTTCACCATATTTAAGACATCTTTCATACTTTTTGTTCCAAAGCATATTGAAATGGGGGCAAATCATTCATGTCAGAATGTTGTGAATCTATATCATAAACATTGTACTGGGAATTTTAGGGAAATGCTAATGAGGGGTTAAAAGTGTGGTAACTGACCGTTTAATGTTTTCAAGGCCTGGTTGAGGCAGATGAGCAGCCTCTTTCCAGCCAATTTGTCCCAAGGTGCTATGGTGTACTACAGAAGATCAAAGTCGTGGAACATGCAGAATACTGGAATTCCCTCTCTAAAACATGGTACATTCCGATTCATTCCGAGTCCTTATTTAGAAATTGATCTCTACAAAAGCATTGTCCAGTGACACCGTGAACACTTCCAGGAGCTCTCGGCCAACAAACAGGAAAGAAACCAACAACTCCGTGCCCTTCTCTCTCATCTGTCCCGGCTCCTACGTCTCTGACTTTCATGTGCGGGTTCAAGACCCCTTAGAGGGCTCAGGTTATTTCCTGGAGAGGGTTTACCACCGAGTGAGACGAGCCGAGGAGGGCTTGGTGAACGTGGTCTTGCAGGGCATCAGCGGGGAGCGAGCGGTGGCGATGGAGGAGAGCGAAGAGATGCTGCGCGTGGGGAGCAACTTGACCGTGTTTGGGGAGGTGGTGCTGGAGCGGGGGCACGGGAAGGTGCAGGCCCCGAAAGACGGCCGAGAGTACCTCCTGGTTCCAACTGACTACAAGAGCTTCATCGAGCGGCACGAGAGATCGGCCGACATGTGGAAGATGCTGACGGCCCTGACGGGCATGATTGGAGCCTCCGTACTCGCTGGTGTGATATATGACACGGTGGGAAAAGACGATAGATCCAAATAGATGTACCATGACAGTGATTGCAATTTTGTCTCAGGGTTGTTTCCCATTTGGAAACAATTTGAATTTTTTCTTTGCGACATGGCTTATTTCTACTGGCTGGATGAAAATGTATCAGACGCAGCTCTTACTGAATTAACCAGGGATGGGGATATAGCTGTGAAACACTCCACAAAATCTGAGATTGGAAGCAATTATAGCTGTCGCTCATGGTAATATTTCTGTGCGTATTGTCGGCGCCACAGCCAGGTGTTGATAAATTCTATGACCTTCATGTGGGATTTCGTGGGTTTCATTCACAATCACTACTGTGGATTAAATCAAGGTAGTTCACTAACAAGAAGTAAAATCTGTGGCGAGCCTTATGACCATGACTGTCATCTCAGATCTCATCTCAGCCAACAAATTGATATTTTGCCATTCAAAAGAAAAAAAAGTGAGAAGTGTGCAGCTATGAATGGATTGCCGATGAAATTTTCATCAAGTGTGAAGGGATGAAAACTACTTAACATGGAATGTTTGACCAATTTTATTTTTGCTTGTCTTATTTTAAAGAGGCGAGAATGAAATCCATGTTTACCTCTTAGATGATGTTTCGACTGTCTAATTTGCTGACGTGTAGTTGCTTTTAGATTAAAATGGTGTCAATCAATGGCTTGGCGGTTGGAATTCATTATTTATCCACACACTTTTCAAAACCTGAAATTCTCTTACTGGAACGAATGGATGTTTCTACCTTTTATCAAGCCGTCCGAGAGCCTCCTCCCTTTGGATAATTCCCTTCGCAACATCGACTTATGATGATGGATGTCAGTTGTACAGCGTTAATAACAACGGAAGCGTCAGTGCGAGTCAGGTGTCGCGAGTCTTCTTTGACCGTTAAAAATGGACAATTATTCTCCGTCCTCCTCCGACGATTCCTCAGCTTCCCTCAGCCACTGGATGAACTTCTGAAGCTTTAGGGGAGAGTAGAGGAAAGCAAGCGGACGTTTCGAAAAGTTGCATTTTGAATTTTTCCCACTTTTTGTCACATCACAACCACACTGTCAATTTATTTTAATGGGATGTATGTTGGGATGCAAGAGTACTCAGTCCCAAATTTTGGGGAATTTTTGAAATTGGTTAGATTGGGGTTGGGGTGGGTCAGTCAAATTTAAATCGAAATTCATGCTTTTGTTCTTTAAATGACTGTTCCAGAGATTTTCCAGCCGTTTCCAACCCAACTTGGTGTTATGTGTGACTGTGCACTCACCCCTTGGTTCTTACGGAGCTGCCTGCTCGCGTCAGACGTGACACTTTGAGAAAACCAGCGCAGGATCATCTCCTCCTCGAGGATCTCCAGTTGGTACATGGTCATAAGAATCTAGATGGGGGGAGGAAACTGGAAACTTTCCATCTGCGGATACTCCCGGCCCTTGTGAGCATGGATGCAGGTGAGCCTTACCTTGCACATGGCAGGCCAGTGACTGACCTGCTCCAGGAAGTGCTCTTCGAAAGCAGATAGACAGTCCAGTTGGTCCTGTGATCTTTTCACATAATTCTTAAACACCGGTGCCCATTTCTCCAGTAACTGTCAGAAGAACCACGCAAAAGTTTGTCATCCCTTAGATTTCATGACCCACCAATACCTGCACTTGGCCATGAGTTTGGTCAACAATAAGATCAACGATTAGCAGATGGTTTTGCACTGACAAAAAAGTAAACCGGATGAGAACTGGCAAAGTTCCGACTTCAGTTCAATGCACTGCCTTGAGTGACTTCAGCGTCGCCCCTACCAACATGGCTGCCACATGCAGGCATGCTGGTTAGCTAGGCTTTGATTGGCAGAAGTGTGTCTCACTACTTTTGTCCAGACAGACAAATTGCCCCATAAAGAGAAGCAGCATTACCGGCAGAAGTACGGCAACGTATCGGGATGCCGTGAGCTGCGAGCTGTGATGCTGCAATGGGAGATCCAACAGCACCCCGGTCAGTATCTGCATCACCTCCTGCAGTGTGATGTTGTAGGCGTACCTGTCACAGGTCACACACTTGTCACACTTGACCGCTTTGAGAGTGAGCCTTTCCACTGGATGCTCCAACTTACTTGAGTGAGTTGATCTCAAGCACGAGGTGGTCGCAGCTGATGTTCTCGTCCAAGCCTCTTTGCAGGGTGCCCAGCACCTCCTTCTGGAACACTGCGGGAGGGTTAAGTGCATTTGAGTTGTTTAAGCGATTCTATAACCACCACATGTTATCGTTCATTTCCAGTTTTAAATACAATAGAATCCGAATTAAAACCAGCACTTAACAATTTCAAGGAATTACAAAATGCAGTTGTCATGTCTTCCAGTTTGCTAAAAGTGACCTCGATAGAGCCAACAATATTTTGATGGACGGTATGCAGATTAATAATATTCTTATAGTACTAGTACTATCGCGCTCAAGTTGAAAATTAAACCATCTGAACAAAATTAGCACCCTTGGGAAGTTTTGTTATATTTGCATAAGTAACAATGACATGACCCCAAAAAGTAAATAAATAAAAAATGAATCACAAGTCGCAAAAACACAACAGTAAATGTGTCCTTCTCCCTTTGAGAAGCTTTGGCACCCGGACTCACCTTTAGCATCATCCATCTCAGGGGAAGGAATCACTGGATCATCAGGACCATCAGGCTCACTGTCGTCACTCTCACTCTCCAGTTCGGGCTTTAACGTCAAACCTTGGACAACAAGAACGTATTGGAGACGGCGGCGTCGTGGGAGATGTTCACTTCATGGACACGCGTGAGAAAACAATCAGATCTCGGTTGTTCTCCTACCCCAGAGACAATGTGACAGCTCTTCATCATCCGTGTCATCCAGACCGCGGGCTTTCCACACGTAGCCTTTTCCTTCCGCCCCGACCTCGGCAGGGTTAAAAGCTGCAGAGGTCATTGATTATGGCTCACTTCTGCTCCAGCCGGAATTGAGGAATTTTTTCACACCGCACCTTTCTGTTTGACTTTGTCCTTGCTCTGCCCCGCCGCGGCGTCATCGCTGAGGAATTCGTCGTCATCTTCCTCCTCTTCTGCTGGGTAATGCATGGACACCACTGTGCCCTCTGGCACAGAGATGTGTGGTCCAATCACCACCTGGTACACAAGTGAAAGAGTGACGGCGTTTTCTCCTCACACATGCCCACGAACAGTTGACATCATGTAGTAGGAAACACAAAAAGCCCAGGGTAAAACTTGGCTGCTGCTTACGGGGAAAATATTTACAATCGGGACGGTACTTGCTGCTTACATTGTAGGCCAGGACGCACTGTTTATTAAGCTTGACGCCTTCTTTGACTTCAGCCTTCTCACAGACTACAGAATGACTGATGACCACATTCGCGCCGAGTTGAACATTGTTCCAGATGTAGGCGTGGTCCAGAACGACATTGTCACCTGAGGCACAAAAACGTTCTGGAGTTCTGTATGGTGCAACCTGTTTATGAGCACTTCCAAATCTTCCCGGTGAACTCACCGATGGTGCAGTTGTTACCAATGACGCTATTGGAGATATAACAGTTGGCCCCTATGCTGGTGTCCCAGCCAATGAGAACGTTCTCCTCCATCTGGCTGCCCTGGCCAAGGGTGACCCCTGACCCACGGTAGACGTTGTGGCGCGAGTAAGTGCAGCTCCATCCTTTCTGGTCCGTAAAATTTGCCTCGGGGGTGAGAGGGTAGACCCACCTTCTCACCACATCAGATGACACCGAATCGTACATCAGCAAGTTGGACACGCGGGCACCATAACCGTCTGTGGTGACGTGCATATGTATCTGATTCCCCAGAATCTGAGGGAAGGTTGAAAAAAGTACAAGGATAAGCGCTCTCGAAATGACATGTGATGTTTTTAAACCGAGGCCAGAGCTGAGATTTGAAGCAGGTATCTCCGAAATGTGAGGTGAGGGTACACCCCACCACAAGATATCGCCAAATCATCCGCACAGATCCTTTATATCAAATATCAATTGCTGTTTATTACCTCTTCATTGACCAAAATACCCCGGACAAAGTCATTCCTTGTTTGGTAGTCAAAATTGTCAGTGAAGAGCTCCGCAACCTAAATTATGAGACGAAGAAATGCAAAGAGTACTTTATTTTGTTGTTCTTGTGGGGGTTTTTTTTTTTTTGGACACATAAAACAATACTTTCAATTGCACACATTATTGGAAAGGTTCTTACCTGTGGTGAGCAGATACTGATGTGGCAGTCGAGGAGGTCATGTCTAATTTCAAACTCATCACTTCCACTGTGGAATATATTCTGGAGACGCAGCAGTAATTTAGTCACTATACGTACACACACATATAACATATGCAGACAGACAGACAGTTATTGTATTGAGCAACACGATGTGAAAAGATCACTTACCATGGGAAAATGAAGCTTCTTTAAGCTTTGTGTCTTGTGGTAGTGTAAAACTCGCTGACTCTTACTGTCCATGGCAACGATCACGTCATCTTCCTCACAGCGAGACTTGTGACCCGGCGATGATTCCTTAAAGAGCATCGTCATCACTGAGATGTTCTTGTCAATCTTCCGACGATGCCTAAAGCACATAAAAGTCACTCATTAGGTACACCGCCATAATTTTATGACTGTAGATCAGTGATTCTCTATGCACGCACGCATACCACTACGTCTTTCTTGCGGTAGGCAAAAACATCACTGCCCAAGTACAGTTCAGTGGACAATATTAGAAAGTTGAGTGCAATATATTTGCATTTATTTAGGAATAAAACTTGCCTCATGTTGATGAACATTATGGCCGACTACACTACAGCATTTTATTCATTGGGACAGTGGTAATTGCAGAGCTAAGTATATTATAGGTGGTAGTTGGGGTAAAAAGTTTCAGTGCCACAGAATTACATCAGTCCTGGAGGACCAAGGCTTGGGTACTAAAGTGTCCACTATGTGTATAATGTCCACAATTTGAAACACTTTACAGGTGAGCAACACTTCGTGACAATCTTATTAGCATTTTCAAGTCGAGCAAAGTCTTACCTGTGCTCCAACAGTGCCTGGCTGATGTCAATATTGGATACCACATCTCCATAGACTAACAAAAAGTCTGAGCGAACAAGCGACTTTGCATCAACATCCCTGAGGACATCTCCCAGGGATCTGTACAGGTCTGATGTGAGGATGTGGACTGTGTTCGGAGAGGTCGATCGACACCATTTAGACTTCCTGTCAGATATAAAGCAAGACTCAATCTACATAAGAGCTCACCTTTCTCAGATCCAAAGCGGTGCTTCTAATGATACTTACAGCAGGTGTTCCTTAATCTTGCTTGCCATCCAACAGCAAAACACGTATGTTTCCTGGACCCCCGTGGAAGTTAGGAATTCGAGAACGTAGTCGATCATAGCAACATTACCCAGAGGCAACAAAGCCTGTCAACAAACTTTGACGGTTACATCAGTGAACAATAACGTGACGAACAATGGAAAATGTTATTAAAATCAACCAACACAGCAATTCGATATTTAGTATATATTATATTAATGACACTAATGTAAACATGAACACAGTTGCGGTAAAAGAGAGAAGCAATGTACGTCTCGCAACATGGTTAGCTGATGGTAGCAATCCTGTTAGCTCAGCGCAGTCAGTGCCTTACCCGTGGCTGGTCTTTGGTCACCGGGAAAAACTTTCGGTTAAAACTATCAGCGACCAAAACGGCCTGCAGCTGAGGCTCTTCTTCATCTTGCTCACAACCACCTTTTCTGCTTGAAATTCTCTGTTTTCCTCCTCTACCAGCCATGCTCCAATGTTTTACTTCTCACTGACTCAAGGATAGAGTCAGATATAGCTACGGTGGCTGAGATAGGACAAATTTGCAAGCGCTGCAGCACCTGACTATCCTACCAGAGTCAGCAAATCAGACCCCGACACGAACGAATTGGCGGACCGTGTGTCAGTATTGACCCTGTAAAATTGGGAGAATGACTCAGATTCGCCAGAATCTTACCAAGAAAATGCGGCATTGAATTAGGGAGACAGCCGTGCCGACGGCCGAGGGCGTCAAGACAAGCAGATTCCGCATGCCATTTAAAGCTTGCTTTAATGCGCCCGTGTAACCAAAAACGCGTTTGGATGCAGTATTTCTCTTGATACACAATGTATGTTTTCCTTCTGACCACCACAGTTACACTTTAAACATTCATTAGGAAGTTTGAGCGCAATTGACGTGCGACTAAACTTCCGTCTTCCGTCAGGCATGGTGCGATAGCTTGCTGAAATTATATAGAAGCTCTCGTTTCACCTAAAACGAATTAATTCTCCAGAATAATCGTTCTCAATAAAAACAACGTTAAATAATTTTTTGATACAATGGCAATGCCAACGCAACAGCAACCGACCTCCAATTCATCTCACGATTTCATGCATTTTTTTTTTTTAACTCAGAAGATTCAGCTCATTAGGGACGAGATACAGTTCTTACAACCCCGTCAAATCCCGCGATAACTGATGTGATTAGGGGCATTAAGGCTAATACAGTAATTGTCTGACAACTCTCTCTGATTGAAAGCCTTACACAACTGGTTAGTGTGGCAAAACAGATCACTTCCTTGCTCGACCAACTCCCTGGCAAACTCGTTCAGGAATTGTTTACCATCTTAGGACTTGCATTTTCAATATTAATTCATCACTCCCTACTGTCACTGTACCAGCAGCTTTTGATGTCTCTGTTATTCAACCCTTACGAAAGCAACCAACCCCCAGAGATTTTCTGTAATTCTAGGCCAATTTCAAGTGTGCTGCTTTTTGCAAAAAAAATTGAAAAAGTCATAAGGCAACTGCTTAATGATTACATAGTCGCTCACAATCACTTGAACATCTTCAGTCAGGAAGTGTACAGCGCTTGCTAAAGTGACTCCTGAATATGCACTCGACATGTGTGTGTCTCCGATAAATACAGTATGCTCCACCCACAATCAGCCATACTTCTGAAATGATGGCTGATCTGCCTTGCTCCGTAAGCGTTCTAAGCAAGAGTCCAGAGGCTTAAAAAAAAAAAACACTCTTAGATCAACAATGTTATGTTAATTTGGGCAGCAGATGGTTCAGTATGCATTTGCTCAGGCAAAAGCACACACACACACACACACACACACACACACACACACAATGGGTTTTGGAGAGATCCTTAACACCATTGGAGAGTTTGGAATTTTCCAGAAGCTTATTCTTTTTGCATTAACCTTTCCAAATTTATTACTGCCTATGTCTTTTTCTAGCTTTATTTTCATCAATTCAGATCCTGATCGGCATTGTAACTCAGACTGGATACTTAAGGCTGCTCCCAACTTGACATTGGATGAGCAACTGAACCTCACCATTCCTCTGGAGCAGAATGGTTCTTTCAGCAGGTGTCAAATGTTTGTTCCAGTGGACTGGGACATCCAAACCATCAGGGAGCATGGACTCAATAAGACCACAGGGTGCCAGGATGGTTGGGTGTACTACACTTCACTTTATTCTTCTACCATTGTCACCGATGTTAGTGACTGTATGCAGCAGATGTTTGCTCTCATCAAGTTCCAAGTCATGCTAACCGTGAGCTTTGTTTTGTAGTTTGATCTTGTCTGTGACAAGTCCTTTCTGCTTGCTGTTGTGGAGACCGTCTTCATGGCCAGTATAGGCTTTGGTTCTGTCATCTTTGGGCCCCTTGTTGAATCGTAAGTAACAAAATACTCTCTTTGTCCATATAAAAGCACGGGGTGATATTTTTCAAGTTTTATGGGCAATTAAAAAATATTTATATATCCATGTAAATCAGCGAAAGCATTTTGGCTCGTAGATGGTGTTAAATACATTTGTGGCTTAGGGACACATCGCCAAATACAAACACCTCCTAATTTTCTCCCGGAGCAGTCGCAACCTAAAACTGCTGTCATCTGTGCAACGGACACTCACCGGTTTCCCTCCACAAATTTCACCAGACCCTCACCACACATCCCTTCCCACCACACACCCCAGAAAAAAACATTGCAGTTAATTTGTGGAAACAGTACAAAGCCACTGAATTCCACAGACGTGTGGCACATGAGAACTGAAACAACAAATCCCTCCACCACCACCAACTTCGAACCTAGCCGAATATTACGCTAACACTATTATCAGAAGCTCAACTGGGTAAAAGAACTGCTTCCTTTTTAGCTTTGACATGATAATGCTTTGACTAATGCTTCCAAGTATTATTGATATATTTATTTATTTGCCACTTTGGAGCCTAGTGGACAAGGCATTGACTTAGAAATTTGGTCTAGAGGTGCTTGCGATGCTACTTGAATAAAACCTGCCATATGTTTTCAATGGGCGATAGCTCTGGACTCCAAGCGGGCCAGTCTAGTACCTGCACTCTTGTTACCATGAAGCCACGCTGTTGTAACATGTGCAGAATATCTTCTGGCATCGTCTTGCTGAAATAATCAATCAGAAAAGATGTTACTCGGATGGCAGCATATGTTTCTCCAAAACCTGCATAATACCTTCGGCATTAATGGTGACCTCACCTATGTGTAAGTGACCCGTGCCATTAGCATCATCAACAACACAATCCCGACCTGCTTAATTCTATCAATTTTGGCAGAAACTGTTTTCCGAAGTCACACAGTGTCAGATGCGGTTCGTGAGCAAACATTTTATGACTAATTTAACTCTTGGCTGTCCATTTTAGATTTGGTCGTCTGAGAAGCACACAGATCCCGACGCTGATTCTCCTAATATGCACTCTTGTGTCGGGCGCGTCTCCTAATATATACGTCTACATTTTGGCACAGTTCCTGGTTGGAGCCGCTCTTGGAGGTTTTAGGGCTAACGCAGCTATCCTGGGTAGGACGCACGCGTCATCTGCAACAAGTCAAGTGCACCATTTCCCGGTTTGACTTAATTGGGGTTTGAAAATGTTTCGTAGCAACAGAGTGGATAGGGGTCACCAAAAGGTCATTGCCCTCATGTTTGAGCCAAATGGGTGGTGCCCTGGGACAATGTGTCATGGCTGGTCTTGTGTATCTAATTCGGAACTGGAGAACAGCACAGTATGTGATGGCAGCGATGTATGCGCTTGTTGTCCTCTACATGTGGTATGTAATAGGAAAAAAGTTCCCCTGTATAATTGATTATTTTGGCATCCAAGGTTTTCTGACATTTGACATTATATAAAGGTGGATTCCTGAATCTGCAAGGTGGTTGTTGAGTCAAAGAAGAATTCAGGAAGCAAAGATTTTGATCAGGAAAGTTGCGTCATTGAATAAGCAGGAAATCCCAGATCATGTGTTGGACAATATGGTAAGGTGATGAACAAAACAGCACAAATAACCTTTCTGGTCTTTCACTCAAAAGTAGTAACTCATTGTTCTCAATCGAACAGTTACAAGTATACGAGGAAAACGAAAATGAAACCAGAAGTGGCGCAATGAAGATCATTTTCACTATACCGCTGTTGGTGAAATATTTGTTGATTATTGGCTTTGTCTGGTAAGTAAAGCACATTTTCAAACACATCATTTTTTAAGGTATACACAAGGTATCGGTGACATGGGAAGCAGTCTAAACAGGGATACCAGGAATTGTAAGTTTGGGCCACCTCATCCAGTTCCACTGGAAGGACACTGAGACATTCTCAGGTCAGTTTTGAGACTAAGTTCCTACAAGCCAACTAAAGTTGTCAGTGAAGCATGCCCGGACCATCTCACCTGGGTGACCTCTGGGGTTCAGAAGTTGCCTGAGCCACCTCAGCGAGCTTGTCGAAAGTTACGCATCATTGCCAACGTCGTTTGAAGTTCACCGGCAGAACAGCAGAGTCCCAAATGAATAAACACACATCCAGTGCATCCACACGTTTTGGTATCTTTTTTAATATACATTTCTAATTTTCCCCTGAAGGGCTTCAGTAACTCTAGGCTACTTCTGTATCGTCCTGAATGTGGGTACCTATGGTTTGGACATTTTTCTGGTTCAGTTCCTGTTTGGCATCACGGAAATACCTGCAAACCTCCTCTGCATTTGGTTTTTGGAATTGTTGGGGAGAAAAAAATCCCTCATTTTAACCCTTTTGGCAGGTGAGGGGTTTTGCCTCTTAACCCTGGCTTTTTCTCAAGGTGACCCCAATTCTTCCGCATCCTCATAGATATCATTTGTACACGCGCATGGGGACTCAACATGTACTGTGCTCTCATTACAGTCAATTCTGTTGCTATTGTGGCGCTTGTAACTACAGGGAAGTTCTTTTTAGACTGGTCGAGTTCCGTGTGTATGGTCTACTCTCAAGAGCTCTTTCCCACTACGGTCAGGTAAACATACATTTCTATTCAGGCTATTCTTTTTTTTTTTTTACCGTTCATCCAGTTATGGTTTAGGGGGAAGTTCGGTTATTGTCGACTTGCTTACAGTCTGGACACACTATTTTTGTATCTGTTATAACTGTGAAGTGGGGAACCATTTTCTTGGGTGTTTTCCACATCTTGGCCTTTGTTTTGTTTTTTTGTTTTTTTTTGTATCTACTCTATGCTATTCGCTTTTCTCTGGCAGGCAAACAGCAGTTGGTTTGGTGTCTACGTTTGCGAAAGCCACCATGCTGCTCTCTCCACTCGTCAACATGTTGGCTGTATACCACTGGACAATACCCATCAGCGTCTATAGCAGCCTCGGCGTTTTTGGTGGAGCTTTGGTTTTCCTCCTTCCTGAAACCAGCAGCATTGACCTTCTAGATTCCTCCAAGGATATTGAAGGGAACAGGTGAGTGCAGCCAGAGTGGAGCAGAGGAGCGGAAAAGGGAGGGTAATGGAGGCCAGAGCAGGAACTAAAGTGCTGGATTTGGAAGGATTTGAGGCGTACTTACACGCGGGATCTCTGAAACGGAGCCTGCAACGTTGGAGAGGCATATAGGGTCACAGGGACAACGAGAAGGACGAAACAGGACTTACCGACATGGGACCAGTCATTTGCTCTTAATTTGCTTTATTTAACAAGTCAAGCTAAACAAAGAAATCACATTACGGTCATTTGCCAGGTACTATCTGTGACTCTGGAAGCTGGAAAACTGTTGCCGAGTACGTATACATGGATGTACATACTGAACCACATTGTGACCAATCTCAAGAAAGACTTTTTTTTTCAGCTCATGATGTATTATTAATCAATAACGGACTTCCAAATGTTGTCAGTGTCAATGACATTTTATGTGGTGATAAACCAAGGTGATTCAGCTCAAGATAGGACTGTCCGTAAAGTTTTTAAAGACCTAACCCATGTTTTGTTTGTGTTATTTTGTTTGATGTCTTTACAGAAAAGGGGTCGCTGCAAAAACAGGAAGGGACTCCATGCAGGCTGAAAAGTGCAAAGAATCAACCAAACTGTAGTCCACGAGCTACAAGATGTACAGAGTAAAACATTGAGCATAACTGAATAAATGATGTTGGATGGTTCTGCACTCGCTTCCGGTGACTGCTGGATTTTGAGGAGTTCTGCTCCCTTAAAAAAATTGGGTCGGTTCAATATTATTTACCAACATGACCTTGAGAAGAAAGACCAGCATGTACAGTGATGCATTCATGTGTTTATTATTTATTTTTATTTATTTTTTCATCATTCCTGTATTTGCAGCGTTTGGCTGTTCGCAGCATTTATTAGTTGCGTCTTTTTTTTTGTTGTTGTTGTTTTGCGGATGTTTTGTG